ACAACCACGGGCCCCAGAAACTGGAAATGGAGATATTTGGGTAGACAAGCTTAATAACTTTGAGCTTCTAAATTCCTCTGAGCTCTCCAGGCCGACAGAGATAGCCTCTAACCACTCGCCAAGAGCAGCAGCCTCCGCTTGCCTGGGGGAACATCCATTAACCTATCTAATCTGAAGCAGGTGCCTTTCAAGATGATTCCTGTTTTCCTCAAGATAATGCCTTGGACATCTTTCATTAGCTGCCTGGCTGAAAACCAAAGTCAGGTTTCAGCACAGCCTGAGCAGGAAAGTACAAGCTCTGCTCTGGGGGAAAAATAGCCCACATGCCAAAGGAATTGCAGGGTCTGGCCAACAGGTAGGTATTCGCGGAAACTGGGGGAACATGTGCAGGAGGAGTGTATGCTGTTCTGTTAGACTAGCAGGACAGAATTCAAAGCTGGATAGTGCGAAATTAATTAACATGGGGGTAGCTAACGATGATCCAGGATTCCTAATAACTGGAGATGGCTTCTCGATGCACAGATCTGATAATGTTCTACATCAAATGAGGTGGAGATGGTAGAACTTCCATGGCACCAAATGGAAGAAAGGGTCAGAAGTGTCAGTGAGGTGGGAATGGTAGAGAGGATTTATTAGGTATGTGCTCAGAACCCGCCACTTGGCTATGTTTCCTGGGATGGTCTGAGGGTATTTCCTTCACGGAGGATGTAGGAATGAAACAATGAGAGGAGCACTAGCACCTTTGGAGAAGTTGTACACACCAGGGTTGATAGTAGAAGATTTTGTGATGAAGTTTAGCTTCACAACATTAGTGGGGAAGATATAATTCTAGAACAGCAAATGCCAGGTGGTAGCAGTTAACAGAGGCTACTAATGTAATCATCGTAAGGACAGCCAGGCCACAGTGACAATGAAATTGCCTTTGCCTTCAGTAGGGGTGGGGGTCCTTTTTTCTGCCAAGGGCCACTTGGATATTTATAACAGTGTTCTGGGCCATATAAAATTACCAACTTAAAAATTAGCCTGCCATATTTTTCCAAATATCTAATGCCTGGATAAGGCCAGAACAAAAGTTTTTACAGGCCTTATATGACCCACAGGCTGGATGTTCCCCACCCTTGACTTACAGAGATGGCTATCTGGCGGTAGCTAATGGATCGAGGTATTAAAGGGGCAAGATGAATAAGCACGCGACAAAGGTACTGCTCCACGTGTATAATCAGAAAACTCAAAATGTTACCCGTCCAAAGTCCATGTGCCCAACACTCTGAAAGGCCAAAACTGAAAATGTCAGATGTGGGGGAGTAAAGTAAGATTTATTAATGGAGAAAACACCAACCAAGAAGATGGAAGACTTTATCCTCAAATCCATCTGAAGGAAGTACTGAGTTCAGGCTTCTTTTATATCAAGGGAAGGAGAAATGGGCAGGATAAGAAGTGATTGATGCCAGCAGGCATCTGAGAAAGATGGTGCTAGTTGATGTAAGTCTGAAGACAAGGTTCCTGCAAATCTTTGGTAAACAATGTGTGCTTTCCTTATCTCCTCGGGAGAGACACTATCTGGGAAGGGGCTGTTTCGTAAAACTCAAGCTGAAAGCAAAATTCCTCTAATGAGTAGCATGTCTATATGTAAGACTAAGCAGAAGCTGTAGCCTGAAGGTCATGGAACAGGCAGGCCTGAGCAAGATGAAGTCAGAGAGGCTGAACATTTCACTCAGTTACAATGACATTGCAAGCGAACATCTGATATCAATTGCTGCAATGGAAAACAGTGGTTCCTCATTTGGTTCCAGATCTTAAGCAGTTCATAAACTCAGATATAAGCTGCCTCACTCCAATCCATCTAAAATACATAAAATACAGACTAGATCTTGCTCTTCTCCACTTAGGAACTTTTCATAGTTCCCAAGTAAGTAATTATATTAGCAAACATTTCCATAGCACTTACTATGTGCCAGGCACTATTTTATGGGTTTTACATATATTAACTCATTTGTTTTCAAACAAAGCAAAATTATGAGGTAAGTAGTATTATTATTTCACCCTCATTTTACAGATGAATAAACCAAGGCACAGTGAGGCTAAGTATTGATAACTTGGAAAAACTGAGGATTCAAACCATGTTTTCAGGCCCCTCAATTTGGGCTTTAACCTCTTTATTACACTGTTTTTCTAAGATTCCCCACTGAATACAGAACCAAGTTAAAATTTCTTAGCACATCTTCCATCTACCTACTATATTTAATAATGTTTCTCTTTCTGTCTTTTTTTTTTCTGCCTTTGGATCTATTGCAGTTTGTGGTTTACCACAATGGACAGATTACTTATGTAATTTGCTGTTTATATTTATGACTGTATCTTACTCAGGCTTTTCTATCATTCAGGGATAACCTTCTAAATGTTTTATCGTATAACTTTTCATTCACTCATTCCAACAAAGATTTGAGTCATCCTCTATGCCAGTTGTTAGGCTGGGTTGCTAGGTCATCACAGCAAATAGGCAAATCCCCGTTGCAAGGGTCTTCCTGTTAATGAGTGGCAATTACTGTCCAGGGCTAAAGCATCACCTCTTCTACCATCCTCGGTTCTCTTTCCAGTTCCAAGCTCCATCTTGAGACTCTCTTAGCATTTTCTAACCCTCCATCACAGCACATTTCACGGAATGTCATTTTTTTTTAAATTTAAATTTTAATTGATTTCAGAGAGGAAGGGAGAGGGAAAGAGAGATGGATAGAAACATCAATGATGAGAGAGAATCATTAATGGGCTGTGTACTGCACATCCCACACTGGGGACTGAGCCCTCAACCTTCTATGTACCCTGACTGGGAATCCAACCATGACTTCCTGGTTCATAGATCGATGCTCAACACTGAGCCATGCCGGCTGGGCTCATAACATATCTTTTTCTCATGGTTAGTTGCGTGTCATCTGCTTCTTGTAGGGAATGGGTGGACTCATTTATTCATTGTATGTCACCCATGGTTGCTGAATGAAGGGATGAAGAAGTTAAAAAATAAAGTCTACATGAAATGGTGAGGTGGCAAGGGGAGAACTTATGCTTTTAAAAATATACCATATTTATATGTACATATTTGGGATGGACCAAATGATTAAAAGCTAAATTGGGAATAGAAAGAGTATTAACTTTATTATTTCTTTCTCTAATAGTTGCTTTAGATGAACAAAGACTCTTGGAAGGGCAAAAAAGAGCCCTGCAGCCTACAAAGACACTAATTATAAGGAAGAAGCAGTTTACATTATTTATAAGGAGCCTATTTACATTCCTTATCCCTGTCAGACACAATAGTTGAAGAGCTCCATCCTTTCACTACAGTGAACACAATAAAGTAAAGTGACAAGGAAAGAAAAAAGATATTCTAATAGCTGCATTTCATTACAAGAAAGATAATACCTCAAATATTTTTTAAAAAATGCTTCCAATATAAATCTAAATGGAAGAAAAACTCATTTTACCACGATGATGATTCAGAGTATAGCACCCACTTAAGTTATTCAGACAAGCTCCAAAATCTTCTGAAGGTTAAGCACTGTTAACAATATGTGCAAGGAGAAAAATGACTAAGATGCAATGTTTCATAATTCAAGTATTTGAAATTAATTAGTCACATTTCCTTTACCAGTGACTTTGAAATGTGCTTGTGCTATGACTGACTAAGGTTGTGAGAGCAACTAGGTCATGGGAGAAAAATCCCAACTTTATCTGTATTATTTTTATTTTCTTTCCTCCTCTCTGGTCACTTCCATTTAGTTTTATCTGGCAGTTTCACTTTCATCAATATAATTATAGCTAGAACTCAGTGGCAAATTATACCAGCCTTTTATCCTAACTGGACAAGTCTGTTACGTAAGAACAAGGATCAGAAGAGAAAGATTTACCAAGCTGATTGAAAAAAGAGAGAGAGATTTAAAAATACGTTTTTGTAAATGTCCCCAAAAGAAATATTTTTAGGGCTATATTTTTAAAAGTCTTGCCACTAGTACACATTAATGTCCAATAGTTAAGATTGAGTAAAATGCACTTTAATTTAGAATATAGTGATCATTAGGATATGTTTGAAATACAAATGAGTCAATATAAAGTAGCCATAATTGTTAGACACTGACATCACTCCCACAGTTATAAACCTCAAGAGACAAATAGAGGGAAGAGAATGAACCAGTTGCATGTACTTGATTTTTAAATTGCTTGTCACATATTTTTAAAATTTCAATTTGATTGATACACTTAGTGTTTTGGATATGGTCCATACAGCCTCTTCATTTTGAGCAGACTGGCATCAAAAAGCTTTGAAGTCAGAAGGCTAAGACCTGGTTGGTACCTGACTCCAGGGTTTACTCTGACTTTGGTCAAATGACTAAACCTCTGTAAACGTTGGTTTCGTCAACTATGAAAGGGAGATACTAAATAATACCTTAAGTTGTGAATCTATCCTATGGACTAAGATAATGTTTCAAATGTTTAGAACAATGCCTAGTGCATATTAATGATGATAATCATCATTATTAAGCGGTCTAAATTAAAAAAAAAAAAAAAAAGGTATATTGCCGAAGCTGGTTTGGCTCAGTGGATAGAGACCGGCCTGCCGACTGAAGGGTCCCAGGTTCAATTCCGGTCAAGGGCATGTACCTTGGTTGTGGGCACATCCCCAGTAGGGGGTGTACAATAGGCAGCTGATTAATGTTTCTAACTCTCTATCCCTCTCCCTTCCTCTCTGTAAAAAATCATATATATATATATATATATATATATATATATATATATATATATATATATGGTATAGCTTGAATCTGTAAGTTTTAAGTTTTGGTTCTCCTGTTCGTGGGCTATCTAGAACCTTCATCCTCCCCACATATCCCCGCCCCCCCCCCCCCCGCCGGCCCCCCCCAACCTTCAGGAGTATCCATTGTTTTCTGGGCCTGGCTCTTTCCTTCCTTCGCCCTCCAGGGGCCACTGTGTTTCCCCCGAAAGCGCGCTGGTTGGATGCCTGGTTGCCAGGACACCGTTGCCAGGCAACCGCGTCTGTACACTCCGGTGCTGCCGGCCAGGGTCTGGTGGACATGGCGGCGCTCGGCCGTATCTCGACGACCTCGTCCAGCTTGTCGGTGATCTCGGGGTCTCCGCCGGGACTGCCGGTGCCCCTGCCCCCCCTCTCCGAAACGGTCTCCAAGTCTCCCCTGCAGTCCAAGACCAGCTCCCAGGACTCGCTGCCCAGCTCCCCCTGCGGCGAGGACGCGCTGCCCCTCGCCGTGTTCTATGGGCCGCTGGACGCTAAAAACCCGCTCCTGGCCTCCCTGGAGAAGGAGATACAGGAGTTGCTGGGCTTCCTGAAGAGAAAGAAAGCTTTATCGACCACGGAGGAGAAGAAGCACGAGTTCAACCGGCGTGGGTGAGCGGAGGCGGGGGGACGGGGCGGGGGAGAAGGCCGCTGGGGGCGAGGCTGGGATGCCAGGGAGAGTTCAGATGGCGAGGATGCGGGTGGTCCCTGAGCTTGGACCGCCCGGGTCCCTGGATCTGTCCACAGAGTTTAAGAAGTGGAGACTTTTCCATCCTTAACTGTATCTTTGCTTCCTGCTTGGGCCAGTGTTTCTTATTCCTTGTTTCTGAGTGTCTCCTCATTGCTACTCCAAACCAGTACCTTTTAGGCTCGCTCACGGGTTTTGCAAAAGTTTCCTGGCTGTGGAGACAGTTTTGTGCAGGGAGGAAAAGGAGTAACTTTGAGATCGTTGACTGTTCTTGAAAAAGTTCCTGAGGCCATGAGGCATGCCATTGTGTGAACATGCGCTTTTAATTCCATTTTTATAGTCTGCTTAGGACCACAGTGACCTTTTCTTGATTTTTGCGACTCATTCGGCACATCTGTTTGCCGTTTGGAGGTTTCTATCACTATGTTATTATCTAAACTGCAAACTACCTTTTCTGTTTACGGTACTGTCTTTTTCCTCCCAGTCAAAATACAGTGCAAACTGCACAGTTATAAACCTAGACACATGGCAAAGAACACCAGAATAGTGAATCGTTTCAACTGATATTTCTATCTGTGCATTTAAAATAAAGAAGTAGATGCCGAAGCCGGTTTGGCTCAGTAGTAGAGCATTGGTCTGCGGACTGAAAGGTCCCAGGTTTGATTCTGGTCAAGGGCATGTACCTTGGTTGCGGGCACATCCTTGGTAGGCGGTATGCAAGAGGCAGCTGGTCGCTGTTTCTCTCTCATCGACGTTTCTAGCTCTATATCTCTCTCCCTTCCTCTCTGTTAAAAATCAATAAAATATATTAAAAAAATAAGATTATCAAACAATAAAAAATAAATAAAATAAAGAAGTAGATTTAAATTATGTTTATTCTTCTTTCATGTCTTTAACTATTTATTGAGCACCTACTATATACATCAGGTACTGTACTAGGAAAACATCAAATTAGCAAAATACATAAATATTTGTACCCTCACGAAACACATTATTTTTTGTGACTACAGATGGCTACTAAACACATATGTAAGGAAATTATTTCACAAGGAGGTAGTGGTGGGGAGAAAATTAGAGCAGGTAGTGGGCATTGGGGGGTGGGCACGGATATGGGATGAGTGTTGAGATTTAAAATTGGGCGATAGAGCCCTAAAATTGGGTAATAGAGCCCCACTGGTTTAGCTCAGTGGATAGAACATCGACCTGCGGACTATAGGATCCCAGGTTCGATTCCGGTCAAGAGCATGTACCTTGGTTGGGGGCACATCCCCAGTGGGGGGGGCGGTGCAGGAGGCAGCTGATCGGTGTCTCTCTCTGATTGATGTTTCTAATTCTCTATCTCTCCCTTCCTCTCTGTAAAAAATCAATAAAATATATTTTAAAATTGGGTGACAGGGGGGATGGTCAGGGAAGGTTAGGAAAAGTGGCCCTTGAGAAAGATGAGCAGAGATGGTAGCAAATGTTGAGAATTTCTGTAGAAAGGACTTGCCAAGCAGGAAGACTGGCAAATGTGAATGTCCCCGGATTAGACCGTGACTGTGGGAAGAACTGGTTTCTGGCAGGAGCGAGGGAAATCGTGATTTTAGTATTTAGATATATTCAGATTGAGATGCGATTCAACATTCAGGCAGAGCCATTATGTAGATACTTGAACATTTGGATCTGCAGGTTAGAGAAGATATACAGTTGAGATTTGTCAGCATATGGATGATATTTAAATGGTGGTGCTTAATGGAATAGTTGAGGGAGGGAGTGGATAGAAAAGAGGAGAGTCCAAGGACTGACCCCTGGGGTACTTGAACATTGACCATGGTGGGAGGGGAGGATAAAAAAAAAAATTGGCAGAGATTTAAAAGAGTAACCAAGGAAGTCAGAAAAAATAGTAAGTGTGTGATGTATTGGAAACCAGGTAAAGAAAATGTCCCAATGCCCTAACGGTTTGGCTTAGTGGATAGAGGGTCAGGATAGAGCATGGGCCTGCAGCCTGAAGGGTCCCAGGTTCGATTCCAGTCAATGAACCTTGGTTTGTGGGCGCATCCCTGGTAGGGGGTGTTGCAGTGTTGCAGGAGGCAGCTGGTGGATGTTTCCCTCTCATCGATGTTTCTAATTCTCTATCCCTCTCCCTTCCTCTCTGTAAAAAAATCAATAAGATATATATTTTTTTAAAAAGAAAGTGTCCCAAGGAGGATGCGGTGATTGATCAACTGTGGCAAATCCCGATGATGGGCCAAGGAATATGAGAACCAAGAATTAGCCAAGGAGAGCACATTACACACCTAAGCTATATGTATTTGTATTTAAAATATTTCCGTGTTTGTGCCTTAGCTAGCACTTTATCTTTCCATCTCCACTGCCAAAATTCCAGTTCAAACCACCACCATCTTGGATTTTCCCTGCAGCTATTCGATGCTCAGACATATCCTTCACATAGCAGTCAGGGCAACCTTTATGAAAAAAAAAAATTACTCACTCCGATATTTAAAGACTTCTGATTGCCTTTCCTTGCTTTTTAGAATAAAATTGAGACTTCTGATTTCCCCAGAGTCTGAGGATCTGGCCTTGCCTGCCTCTCTCATCTCAGCTCATCCTCACTTGTCTCAGGGCTCTCCAGGGACACAGATTCGACTGTTTCTCACCCTGGGGAGTTAGTACTGGCTGCCGCCTTTGTCTGAAATATTCTTGTTTTAGCTTTTCAAATAGTTGGTTTCTTCTCTTCCTTTAGGTCTTAGCTCAGTTGTTAACCTCCGTAGAGTGGCCTTTCATACCTAATTCAGGTTTGTCAATCAGTTTCCATTGTTTATTTTTGTTGTGGGCTGTCTGTCTCCAGCATTAGAATGTAAACTCCCTGTGACTTTTGAGTGATGTGTCTCTTTTTCACTGCTCTATCTCCAGCGACCATCCTGGACATAGTAAACATTCAATGCATATTTGCTTTTGAAAGAATTCAAGGGTTATTATCCTTGCATTTTAATAATCGTTAGAGTTATATATGGGAAAGTAGACCTGGATCAGTCAGTAAATACAGGACCTGCCCCATCTTTAAACAGACAATTATTAGAGGGTCACACATGTTAAGGATTGACATGGACCTTAGCAATCTAACCTCTCCTACAAATTAGGTATTTATTTTTTCATACAACAGTTTTAATTGAGTGTCTGTTATGTGCCAGGCACTGCCCCCTAGTCATGAGGTGTACAGTGGTAAACAAAATAGATATGGGAATCTGTGCTCCTGGAGCTTGCAGTCTGGAGAGGGATATAGGCTTCCAATGAGTCATTAAGTCAACACAGAAACAGCAAGTGCCACGCAGGGAGAAGTTACTGAGCACTTACCTGTGCCAGGCATTGTACGAGGTGCTGGGGATACTGCAGTGAACCAGACAAAAATCCTCGCCCTCTTGGTGCTTCTATTCTAGAGGAGGAAATAGAGAATAAACATGTTAAACAAGTCTATTTTATGGTGACCTAGAAAGTGATACATGGCTGAGGAGGAAAATGAAAGAGCGGAAGGGTTACGGGATGGGAGACAGGAGGTTGTCATTTTCAATAAGGTGGTAGGAATAGAGGCTTGAGCAGAGGCTTCAAAAGAACACAGCAGGGACATTTCAAATGAATGGTGAGGGCAGTGACATTAAGCTGAGATTAGAAGCATGGCTGGCAGTTGACCAGGCAAGGAGAGAGGATAAATAGAGAGAACCAAGCATGTGGGAAGATCTTGGCAGGAGAGAGGGACTTTGGAGGGATGGACAGAAGCTCATGGGGCATAGCTTGCTGAGTGTAGGTACAGTGGCATGAGGTGAGATCAGAGGAGTAGATAGGGCTCTGGGAGGGTTGAGAGGCCATTTATAGAGTTTGTGTTTATTCCGAGTGCAATGAGAAGCCATTGGATAGTTTTGGGCAAGGTATTAACCTCATGTGATTTTGTTTTAAAATATTATTTTGGTGGTCTTGTTCAAATGAAGCAAGAATGACAAGGTGGAGTCCAGTTAGGAATACAGGAGGTAGGATTTGCTTTTCTAAAATATTTGACAGATGGTTATTTTTTTACAATCAACATTTGTTTCCTTTTGTAACTGTAAGTCCTCCCATAGCATAAAAATTCATAGTCTTCAAAATGTAGATTTTGATCAGACCAACAATGTCATTAGATTTAGAGTCTGATAAATTTTTAAAAGGTATGCTTTTGTTATAAACACATAAGTTTTAGATATTTGGTGTATATAATTGTGCATTTCTATTTTAGAAAATCCTAAATATTCAGCAGCAGCTATAAATCAGCAATCCAAACTATATTAACATTCTTTTCTTAAATGATGTATAGTCTGTGCTATATTTTCCATGTTTAATCATTATATAAGCCATTCCCAATGATCAGTCTTGACTTGATCTTAGGGTTCAATGAAAAAAAAGAAAAAGTTCTTTTATTATATAACCTTGATTGAATTAACAAAGCTGGTATTTTTCTTTTATGAGTAAGAAACCTAGTCATCATTATGTCACCCATAAGGTTTGGAAGAATTATCTCTTTCATCTACATAATTTATGGGTTGGAGGGATTGAGCAAAAAAAGAAAAAGAGAGAATCATGGACATGCACAGCAGTGGGGTGATTGCGGGCAGGTGGGGGTGGGTGGGTGGGTGGAGGTGAAAGGGCAGAGAGGGGATAAATGGTAATGAGAAAAATAAAATAGAAATTTAAAAAGAATTCTAGCAAGATGGTGATTTTTTTTGATTTCTTATATTTATTCTACTATTGCAGCATTTCATGAAGCATCAAATGAAACAGAAAAAGGTAAAACAAACAAAACTCAAAAAGCTTCTACTTTTTAAAACTCCTATGGGCTGTATTTGCCACATTATTTGTTTGGCATTGTTATTTACTATTTGTTTCATGTGTATATTTTTTAGCCGCTAATATTATTACTCACACCAGGAAGGCAGGGGTACCTTAGGTCCCTACTTCCCTTGTCACTCAATCAATATCATTTCATTACCTTAACAAATTAATTGACATTTCTGTTTAGGTTGTATTATTAATATCCCAACAGGTATATCAAAGTACTAACCATTTTCAGTCCTTGAATTTATTTTTTTTAATTTATTTTATTTTTTAATTTTTTTTATTTTTACAGAGAGGAAGAGAGAGAGATAGAGAGTTAGAAACATCGATGAGAGAGAATCATCGATCAGCTGCCTCTTGCACACCCCCTACTGGGGATGTGCCTGCAATCAAGGTACATGCCCTTGACCGGAATCGAACTTGGGACCTTTCAGTCTGCAGGCCAACGCTCTATCCACTGAGCCAAACCGGTTTCGGCCAGTCCTTGACTTTAGATTCCTGTCTGTATAAGTTATTTTGGGCTTCCGTACAAATACTATACATTATCTGTCTTAAAAAGCAGAACTGTATTTCTCACAGTTCTGGAGGCTAGATTTCCCAGATCAAGGTTTAGAAGGGTCAGTTTCTGGTGAGAGTTCTCTTTCTGGCTTACAGATACCTACTTTGTACTCATATAACCTTTCCTCTGAGGAAGTACAGAGAGAAGGAAGAAGTAGAAAGGGAGAGAAAGAGGAAGGCAGGGAGAGAGGGAAGGAAGAAGAGAAAGAGAACTAGAGTAAGCTCAAGTGCTTTCTGGTGTCTCTTCTTAGAAGAGCATTAATCCATAACACCATCCTTATCTGGAAATGTATGATGGGATTGGACAACTGTCAAGGGAAATTTGCATTATTCCTAGAGGCATTTATAATGACTGAGAGAGTGAGGAGTAATTGTTAGCTCAGCAAATGAACAAAATAAGCAGTGATCTGCTACTCCTTGAAACTTTGATTAGAAACTATGTTGAGAATACTGTATGCTTTGTTTTTGTTTTGCTTGGTGGAATGAAGCATCACCCTAAATGGACTGATTAGGTATTTGAATTCTTAGACTGTTTATAAAAAAGAATAAAATAAAACCAAAAACTTTTTTTTCCTATTCATTCAGCCATTAATGCATTGTTTCAACAAAAGATTTATTGTGGCCGAAACCGGTTTGGCTCAATGGATAGAGCGTTGGCTTGGGGACTGAGAGGTCCCGGGTTCGATTCCGGTCAAGGGCATGTACCTTGGTTGCGGGCATATCCCCAGTGGGGGGTGTGCAAGAGGCAGCTGATCGATGACTCTCTCATCGATGTTTCCAGCTCTCTAACTCTCTCCCTTCCTCTCTGTACAAAATCAATAAAAATATATTTTAAAAAAATAAAACTCATACAAAATAATATGAGTTAAAAAAAAAGATTTATTGTGTACTTACATATACTATATTCACTACTCTTGGAGCTTGGCAATACATAATAAAGTTGAAGTCCTTGGAAGGCTCAGTTAAATATGTACTATTGGGTCTAGTAATAATTAATGTCGTTTTAAACATTCGTTTAAAATCTTGCTTGGCGTTGACTTGTATTGACATAACATTCAAACATGTGGTATCTACAGAACATGTGAAGTGCAATTAACAAGTTTTGCTTGAAAAAGTTTGTGTTTGGTTTGGTTTTTGTTGCAAAACTAGGGCTAAGAAGATGGCGGATAAAGAGCATATTCGGCACTGCATGCTTTACGAGTTCCAATTAGGAAGAAAAGCAAGTGAGGCTGCAAAAAACATCTGAAGTGCTCTTGGTCAAGATGCAGTTAGCGCCAGAAAATGCCAGCGTTGGTTTGAGAAATTTCGCGAGGAAAATTTTTCGTTAGATGACAAGAGTGGTCGAGGCCGTGTGTCCAATTTTGATCAAGAAGCTCTTCAAGCTCTTTTGGTGCAAAATCCTCAAATTACCCAACAAGAGCTTGCGACAACTTTAAATTGTTCACAAAAAACAATTTCCAATCAATTGCGTGCACTTGGCAAAGTCCAAAAGTTTGGAAAATGGGTTCCTCATGAGTTGACCGACAACAACCGTAATCAGAGTCACAATTTGCAGTTCGCTCCTCTCTCGTCAAAACCGTTTGCTGTTTTTAGAGCAAATTGTTACCAGAGATGAACAATGGGTGCTGTATGTTAATTTGAAAAGGCGGCCTCAATGGTTGGACAAAAATGAGGCTCCACAGCCCACGCCAAAACCTGACTTGCATGCGAAAAAAGTGATGTTGTGTGTTTGGTGGAATTTTAAAGGAATTCTTCATTATGAACTTTTACCATCTAACCAAACCATTAGAAGTGCAGTGTATAGTGCCCAATTGGAAAGGTTAGCCCAAGCTTTAAGAGAAAAGGAACCCGCGCTGATTAATCGGAAGGGCGTAATTCTTCACCACGATAACACACAACTGCATACTGCAAGAATCACTGCTGAAAAACTGCGCCAGTTGGAATGGGAAGTTCTCCCTCAACCTGCATATTCTCCTGATATTGCCCCTTCCGATTACCATTTGTTTCATTCTTTGCAAAACTTTCTTCTTGGAAAAAAATTTAATAATGAAGAATGCCTCAAAAATGCATTGACCGAATTTTTTGCATCAAAATCACAAGAATTTTACAACAGAAGGATTAAGATGCTTTCTGAGCGTTGGGCACAAGTAGTAGAAAACAACGGCAACTATATTGTTGATTAAATTTTGTTGTATTGTTTAAATAAATTCGATTTTAAAAAGTATTAGAAAACGACATTAATTATTACTAGACCTAATAGTTAAGAGTATGAACACACTAAGCCTCAGTTTTATAAACTGTATATTTGGGTTATTAATATTACCCATCTTAGGCTTGTTGTGAAAATGCAATGGAACAAAAAAAAGCATATTAGCTAAAGATTCAGAATAGCTAACATAATATTGAAAACAAAGTTGGAGGACTGACAATTGCTGACTTTAATCAAGACTTACTATAAAACTGCCGAAACCGGTTTGGCTCAGTGGATGGAGCATCGGACTGTGGACTGAAAGGTCCCGGGTTCGATTCCAGTCGAGGGCATGTACCTTGGTTGTGGGCACATCCCCAGTGGGGGGTGGGGGGGGCGGTGTGTGTGTGTGTGTGCAGGAGGCAGCTGGTCGATGTTTCTCTCTCATTGATGTTTCTAACTCTCTATCCCTCTCAATTCCTCTCTGTGTAAAATCAATAATAATAATAATAATAATAAAAGACTTACTATAAAACTACATTAATTGAGTGTGGTGTTGCTAAAAGTGAACAAGTAAAAGGAACAGAGCAGAGAGCCCAGAGATAGGCACACATAAATATAGTCAACCAACCTTTGAGAAAGGAGCGAAGGCAATGCAATGGCGTAGAGATACTCACTTCAACAAATGGTACTAGAACAACTGGATATCCACCTGTAAAAAAAAAAAAAAAAAAAAAAAAGTGAATTTAGACAGAGACCTTATACTATTCCCAGAAATTAACTCGAAGTGGCATGATCCATGAAAGAAAGAATTCATAAGCTAGACTTCATTACAATGAAAAATTTATGCTTTGTAAAAGTCACTGTCGAAAGCAGCCTTAAATTGGGAGAAAAAATTTGTAAAAGATATATCTGATAAAGGACTATTATCAAACTATATTAGCACAAAGAACTTTTAATACTGAATAGTAAGAAAAAACAACCTGATTAAAAGAGTGGGCCAAAAACCTTAGCAGACCAGAGAAAATATACAAATGGCAAATAAACCTAAAAAGAGATTCTTCACATTATATATCATCTGGGAGATGCAAATTAAAATAATAATGCGGCACTACGCGTTTATTAGAATGGCTACAATCTGGAAAACTGACAACAACAAACACTGTTGAGGATATGGAGAAACAGGATCTCTCATTGCTGGCAAGTACAGCCACTTTGGAAGATAGTTTGATGTTTTTTTTGTTTTTTTACAAAATTAAATATATTCTGGTAAACTGTTCTCTTTGGTATTTGCTAGGAGTTGAAAACTTATGTTTATATATAAGTCTGTACATGGATGTTTATAGCAGCTTTATTCAAATGGACAAACTTGAGAGCAAATAAGATGTCTGTCAGTAAGTGAAAGGATAAATACACTGTGGTACATCCAGACAATGGAATATTATTCAGTGCTAAAAGGAAATGTGCTATCAAGCCATGAAAAAACATGGGGGAATCTTAAATGCACATTATTTAGTGGAAGAAGCTAGTCTGAAAAGGCTATAAACTGTATGATTTCAACTGTATGACAATATGATAAAGGCAAAACTATGGAGAGTATAAAAAGATGAATGGTTATCTGGAGTTGAGGGCAGGGAGGAATGAATATTCAGAGCACAGAGGATTTTTAGGGCAGTGAATAGTAATATCATACGTTTGTCAAAACTCATAGAATGTATAACACCAAGAGTAAACCCGAATGTAAGCTCTGAACACTGGACGGACGATAATGATGTGTCAATGTAGGTTCATCAGTTGTAACTATTGTACCACTCTGGTGGGGGTTGTGGATAATGGGGGAGGCTGTGCATGTGTGGGGGCAGGAGGTATATAGGGAATCGCTATACCTTTTCTCAATTTTTCTGTGAACCTAAAAATATCTATTTTATAAAAATGCATATAAGGAGCTCCCATTAGTGCTTTACATAAAAGCAATAATTTTAGCTATAGTTATAATCTATCTATATATAAATGCCTAATATGCAAAGTATCCTCTCAGGAGTTTTGACCAACTGGGAGTTCAATCACTTGCTATGATGTTCACTGGCCACCAGGGGGCAGCATAGAAGAAAGGAAGGCCCTGGCTGGCAGCTGGCAGCTGCTAGGGACCCTACCCAGGCATGGATTTTGTGCACTGGGCCTCTAGTTTATTAGTAATTAGACATTAACAAAAAGGCACATTGGAAAGACTTAGCACCAGGTAAGTTTTTAAGGATTGCTTGCTAATTAATCGAATTTTCCTACTGTAATGATATAATTTTATTTTATGATTCTTACAGTGCCATCTCTTTGTTTAATATCTGGACCAAATATGCACCCCGGCTACCCGCTGCCTATTACAACGAAAAGCTTCTGAAGGTTGGAGATAGCCTCTGCGAAATGAAAGTAAGTGCCTCCGCAGTAAAAAGAGCCTACATGACACTCATTTGGCTAATTATATCGTATTTGGTTGATACCATACCTATTTTACATGATTTGATTATTATTGCTATTTAGAAAAGAATAAATGAATTCTGCATTTTAATGGGACACAGTAACCAAAAAAGTGGTTTTTTTTTTTTAATTTTGTAGTTGAGATTTTTCAGAGGTGAGACATTTGTGAACAGAAAGACAGCTGCCTGGGGATGGCTAGGAGCATAGGCCCTAGCTCACAGAGGGTGTGGTAGGCGCCCAACAGGAAATGCTGAGTCATCATGTTCCTTTGGTATACAAAGGAGCCCAGACACCACTTCCTGTTATTTTTCACAGGGTTGGCCTTACCCAGCAGACAACTCTCATGGCTTTTGGTCTTGCTGCTGTGTTGCCTGTGTCCCAGTGGCTGTTTTAATGACTTTCAATTCCTTGTTAATGTTCTGCGGAATGTACATATAGCAGTCATTCCATACATGCCCTCTTTCTTGCTCAGCATGGTATTCCAAATGGAGTTTGCTCCTATTTCTAGTTCCACATCAATGCCCGGGTCTTAGATTGTTGTGGACTCATGGACTTGCTAAGACTACACACACACCATCGCTGACTTTTCAGTGAATGATAATGTAAGCTTTCTCTTCAGTTCTGGCATAGGCCCCAATTACTCCAAGTTAAATATGAGTTTTTGGCTCATCTAGGACCCTTGGACCAAGATTTATTTTATCCAACGTGACTGTAGGCCAGACATTGGCCGAATATAGTGTCTTTCTCAATCTTTAATTTCACAGCATCATTTTCTTCCTACATTTCTATTTTTCTGGACTTGAATCCTTTGGTTTAGGAGGGAAGTTTATCAAATAGAGGATAAGATGAAAAAGAGCTTTCATAATGAAGAACTAAGATCTATTTTCTGCTGTCAAAATGAGAGAATCACCTTAGCTCCATGCAACTGGACCATGGTTCTTAGAAACTTGAACATACAGTTTGGAAAACTATAGGAAAAATAAAATGATGAGTTCCCACTTGTAAGCTGTATTTATGTGAAGTGGAATAACAGTTTTGACAAGAATTAGAAGAGTGTTTCCCCCCCCCCCCCATTTTTTATGCTTCTCCTCAATAGAAGGAGCTGGTGATATACAGCACAGTTTGGGGGTTGTTTGAGGAATATCCAGGTGGGTGAATAGTATATTGGTGGAGGGAGGAGGAAGAAGCATGTGAGAAGTTGATAAAACAAGTGGGTGATGAGTAGTGACTAAGGAGTCAGAATATTTCAGAGAGGTGTATATATAGATATCTTAAAATTTGGTTGAAGGAAACAAATGAAATGTTTTAAATACTTTTCACTGATGGGAAAGTGGACTGATAAAGAAGATATTTGTGATCCTGAAAATGAACTTGACTTGTTACTTTGGTTTTAGAATTTCTTTATTTTAGTTGCAGTAAAGATCATTTTGTTAGAATACTCTTGTTTGGAACATAGATTCGAGTTCATTATAGGAATCAAGTTAGAACAGAAAAGAACCAGAATTAATTAGTGACCAGTAACAAACAAGTCCATAGAAATAGAAACAAAACAGCATTTGATTGTGGATGCCTCCCAAGGGGCTAGGTAATTTGAAAGGCAATTGTTTGTCCTGGACACATAGTTACAGGAGAGGAAGCTGAGTAAGGGTTGCAATAGACACATACTTCAGAGCCCTACTCACACCCACTTCTCTGAAACTCTCCAGATCAACTGTGCCTTGGGGGCTACTGAAATAAGGCATATGACTTTATAATGGGAATATAAGCATGACTTAGAACTAACAGAATCGTAACTAACAATAGCTCAGACTTTGTTGGCTTGACCCGATGCAGTTTCTGAGACTGTTGAAAGATCAAAGAGAGATTTAGCCAGCTCATGTGTGTTTTTCTTTTCTTCTTCTCTTTCCCCTCCCTTTGCTTTCTCTCACCTGTCCTTCCTCTCCCCTTCTCCCTCCCCTCCTTCCTTCTCTTTATCTCCCCTCCCTCCCTTCCTCCTTCCCTCCCTCCCTCCCTCCCTCCCTCTCTCCCTCCATCCCTCCCTCCTTCTTTTCCTCTCTCCCTTCCTTCCTTCTCTGTTTCTCTTGCCATTCTCTTCCTCATTCCCTTTTTTTCTTCCTCATTCTCTCTTTCTCTTCCCCTCCCCATCTTTGTATTTCCTTCTTTGTTTAGAGCTTGGGAAGTATCAGAGAAGCAAGACTAGTAACACAACTCATCTCCCTCTCTGACTGAGGAGGTAGATTACCATCAAGATGATATTGAATTTGGGGATATTCTCATCTTTAAGGTTATAATAGTCTTATCTCGCAATAGGAGAATTAAATGAAATAATACACATGAATAGGAGAATTAAACAAAATAATACACAATATCTATCACATAATGTGTGTTTGGAAATGATAATGGTAGTAATAGTGTAATGGTGATAGTAATAGTGGTAATAATCAAGATTGCTATTATTTACAATAATATAAGTAGTACCTAGTGTTAATAATTTAATAATTAATGTAATTTTAATATTTGTAAGACATTTAATAAGAAAAATGGTATTTTGAAATTTTCATCAAGTGTTCTTTTTATTTTAGGAGTATAAATTGGCCCTTTTACAGTGCTATGGAAGATACCTTCAGCAGTTCAGTATCAGCTTTGATGAGAGCATAGCAGATATACAACAATTCAAAACTGTCTTTTTTCCAAACGGCGTTGAAGACCAAACTGCTGCAAATACAGTAAGATGAAAGCAGCTAAAATAGCTATAAGTTATGATTAGCTATGCAATATATCCTCTTGTTGACAGCTTCTAAATGTCTTTCCTGTGTTTAGCATAGCATTTACTTGTGTGCTACAAGTTGCTTAATAAATGTTTTCAGTGCTAGATAGGAAGGGACACTTATTAGACTTTGCGAAGATGCTTTGGAGATCACGTCACTCTAATCACTCATTCATCCAGCAGACAGTTGTCATTACAATAACGAATATTTGCAGGGTACTTTCATTTTAAAAACTTAAAACATCTGATCCTCACATTAACTGTGTGAGTTAGATACTATTATTATTTTTATTTTACAAAAGAGAAAAATAAAGCTAAGCACAGAGTCTAACTATTGGCTCTGGAGATGAAACACAGATCTTCTGATATAATATTTTATGCTTTATTTCTGGTATACCAGTGTTATGTTAATTGTTACCATTGATTCACTGGTTGAAGAGTTACCATGTGCTAGGCTCTCCTACATGCAGTATATGAATTGTCATCTTTTAGCCTCATTATAGTCTCAAAAGGAGGGTTACTATTATGCCTTTCTTACAGATGAGGCTTCTTAGAGACTAAGAAACCAGTCCACTTAAAGCAATGGACAGGGTTGGTTTTTGAACCCTAATGAATTATTAAGCTGTTATTCCAAACTTGATCTTTCAAAGCCTTGGAAACATATGGCTTAATAAGCAGAAAATCTCAAAGTATTGTATGTTTGGCTGTATCATAGGTGCATGAATGGAAATACAGGGCAATAGAAGTTGGCACCCCATTGGGGAGAGAACTGAATGAAAAGCTTAGGACTTTAGAATTTTAAGGCCCCTCCTAGCCCACTCTGGTCCATCATGTGCGCGCGCTCGCGCTCTCTCTCTCTCTCTCTCTCTCTCTCTCTCTCTCTCTCTCTCTCTCTCTCCCCCCCCCCCTCTCTCTCTCACACACACACACACACACACACACACACACACTCACACACTATTATCCTGCTTTCACCTTGTATCCCCAGCTTAGCGCCAGTGCATTGGTGAGCTCCATTGTCTACAAAGCTTTTATCTTAGTTGTCTGTGTGGCTCGTCTTTTACTTCCTTCAGGTCTCATGCACTCCCTGCTTTATTATTTTGGTATTAGTTATTGTCACCAGCTACATTTTCATTTGTTTACTTTTTAATAATAATATTACAAATATAGTAGATCCTCAATAAAGCTTTATTGACTGGATGAATAGATGAAGTGATACAGTCAGAATTAGTAGGAGCCATACATAGAATAGATTAGAAGGCAAAAGACTGGAGGCAGAAGGTAAAGCAATGAAGACAGTATAAGAGCTTGCCATCAGGACTGTTGTGATGGGTGCAAAAAGAATTTGTGTTTTTTTTTTTAAATATATTTTTATTTCAGAGAGGAAGAGAGAGGGAGAGAGAAACATTGGTGATGAGAGAGAATCATTGATCGGCTGCCTCCTGCATGCCCCACACTGGGGATTGAGCCCACAACCCGGGCATGTGACCTAGCTAGGAATCGAACTGTGACCTCCTGTTTCATAGGTCCATGCTCAACCACTGAGCCATGCTGACCACACAATAATTTTATGTTTTATTTTGCATGCTTAATTTGAGGTACTGGCATGATACTGGCATGCTGCATTTTTCAACAAATATGTATAAAAAAATAAAATAAGTAAGATTGAAAATTTAGTCCAGTAGGAACCTATCAATACAGAACTAGAGGTCTTGAGAAGTTTTGTTAGAGAAATAGATCTTGGATTTATATGCATAAAGATCATAGATGAAGCAGTAATAATGAACAATTCACTGTCAAACCATTAACAGCAAAGTTTTGTGTGAACATTCATAATCATGTATGTAATATTTAATTATCCTCTTTGTATGTACTATAAGGAGGCATTATGGCAGAGATGATATGGATTTGATCTCTGGAGCCACACTGCCTGAGTTCAAATTGCTGCTGTGCCACTGTCTAATGATGGGACCTTGCGATTTCTTTGTGCTGCAGTTTCCTCATCTGTAAAAATTGAAATAATAATAAGACCTGCCTTCTAGTGTTGTTTTGAGGTTGCTAAGATAACAAAAGACTTAGACTAGGGCCCAACACTCAAAAACTGTTAGGTATCATTATCTGTTTGTAAAAGAGAGAGAGAGAGAGAGAGAGAAAGAGAGAGCGCGCACTTAGAAGATAATTATTCCAACTTGAGATACATTCAATAAATAAATATCTTCTGTGATACCAACTACATGGTGGCTAGAAATAGTGTACATGTATCCAAGTAGGAAATATATATGGTAGATAAGGCCCATTTATATTACTAAGAGTGTCCACCCCCTACTTTTAACAGGGCTCATTAGTACTCTCTTCAGAACTTCACATCTATCCAGTTATGTCTTAGACATCTCAACTTGACATATTCCAAGCTTAACCCATCATCTTTCCTCTATAATTGCCTCCAGCCAGTCACCCATGCAGGAAATTATCACAGATGTCTTCTCCTCCCTTATTTCTTGCACATTATTGGCCACTGAATCCCATTGACTCAGACAAGACTTAAATCTTTCCCTATTTCAGGGCCCTGGTATGTCTGGACTATCTAAGACCCCTCTGATCACTCCCAGCCTCCCTGTGTGTAGCTTTGTGCCCTTCCCTCTGCTTTTCATCTTCCACACTTTTATCATAATTAATTTCTAAAGTGTAAATAAATTGTTTCACCCCTCTGCCCTTTGACTTAGCCTTTTGGCTAAAGTTTATATTCCTTGGAATGGCTTGAACACTCTTCATGTTCCGACCATGAACCACCTCTATAACCTAATCTCTTTATCTTAAGCCTTCTTACTTAATCTTTCAAAAGTCTTTCAATCCAGTGACCTCTGAAACTACTTTAAGCATTCCTAACATTGCTTGTCCCCAGAATCCTCTTCTTTTTGCCAAGAACAGGGGCCACGTCTTCCTCAACTTTGAGCCACTATTGCTCAGCAGAGTGTGGCCAGTTGAGGTGGTCAATAAACATTTGCTGAATCAATGTGTAAATGGTAATATTTATACCCGAATTAATATGTTAGAATGCTATTTGGTGAGTTTCCAAAAAGGTGACTCAATTCCATATTCTTGGAAATAGAATTTTGTACTTTCTTTTGCTTTTGAATTTTTCTGATTAAGGAAAAGTAATCTTAATGAAATGGATGCTTCGAAGACACCTATCTTTGTATGTCTTACTTTGTTAGGGATATTATAAAAAATTTGTAGACTGGTGGCTTACACAACAACTTTTTTCTAACTTTATGGGGCAGCGATGGCTCAGCCCAGGGTGCTAGAAAACCTGGTTATCTGGTGAGAGCCTGCTTTCTGCTTCTTGAAGTGTCCTTAGATGGCAAAAGGCATAGGGTCTTCTCTGGGGTCTCTCTTAGAAAGGCACTAATCCCATTTACGAGGGCTTTACTCTCATGACCTTCTATCACCATCACATTGGGGATATATTTCAACATAAGAATTTTTTTTGGGGGGGGATCCATTCAGTCTAAAGCGCTATACTAATCTATTAAATTAATTGGGCACAATTGTTTCCATTTTAGTTTTTTTTTTTAATAAATATTTTAAGGAAAGTTTTTCTAAGTTGCATCAACTTTATATTCACATTTATATTTTCCCATGCGTTTCAGTTTCATGCTTTAAATGGAAAAAACATTTGCAGCTACCAGCTGGTCTGTGACAATGATTTGAACCTGCAGAACAAAGAGTCCGTGATCCAGTGTCTGCATATCTTGTCCTCCTTAAGACTCATCATGCAGGTGGCCTTGCCACAGGAGCACCTCTGCTGGATCATCTACAACGGTATAAGCCCACGTATTTTATTTTCCATCGCGTTTTTCAGAAAGTTATGTGAATGCCAAGTTTGATGTTAACTTGATTACTTCTTGATTTAAAATATAATTGCTTCATATTATAGTAGCACACTTGCTTTTTATTTTTTACACCATTATTACATTTTAGTTTGTCCTCCTATGCAGGAACTTACAAAGCATGTCTTGGGTTTTCTCTTCAAGGAAGGGTTAGAGTCTGTGGGGATGATCAGTTTCAGGTATATAGAAAGCAGGGCCCAGAGTTAGTAAATAAATATAAGTGGAGAAGAATAAAAAAAACCACTGCAGGTTAGATTGGTTCTAGGCATCATCCATTTATTGGTCTTCTCCTCAAATTCTTTGAGCAGTGACTGTGGCTTCCTACATATCAACCTTCTTCTCCAACTTGGTTTTGAACAACAAGCATTTGTGTGTATATATGTGTGTATAGTATATTTATATACATATCTACTGTATATTTATGTACATATGTATTCATTTATATTTATATACATATATCCATTATATATCTGTCTCATGAAATATCATCTATCAAAATGTAGCATTGTCCTGGCTGGGGTGGCTCAGTTGGTTGAGAATTGTTCTATGTAATGAGAGGTCAAAGGTTCAGTTCTCCATTAGGGCACTTGCATGGGCTGTGGGAGGAGGCATGCAGGAGGCAGCCAATTGATGGTTCTATCTCATTTATGTTTCTCTCTCCTTTCTCTGGAATCCATATATATATATATATATATATATATATATATATATATATACACACACACACACACACACACACACTCACACACACACACACACACACACACACACGCTTAATATGCAAATTGTCCCATCTGGAGTTAGATCCGGAGACCAGGAGTTCAATTGCTCACTATGACATGTGCTGACCACCATGGGGCAGCACGGAACGAAGGAAGGTCCCAGCAGGCAACCAGCTAGCCAGCAGCTGGGGAAGGAAGGCCCTGGATGGCAGCCAGAAGGCACTAATCGGCCCTGATTGCTGGCCAGGCCTAAGGATCCTACCTGTGCATGAATTTTGTGCACTGGACCTCTAGTATATATATTAAAGTAGCAGCTATTTTTCCTCTTTAAAGAGTTATAATTTAAATTTAATTTCTCTTTAAAGTTACAATCAAAAGTTGTAATGAGTCATTTGCTGTTGTTCTCTGGATAATATATTCTAAAAGGAAAAATAATACAGTATGTTCTCTGTGCATAAGAGTAGGACAAACTAACTTGAAAGAAAACATATTGAATTTTAGCTCATTTATGGTAATTGAAATACATTGCCTAGCCTTTTCCTTCTTTACCCTCCCCAAATAATTTTTTGACAATTTGATTGAAAATTACATTTGCTGCCAGAAATGAGGCTGACTTTGGAAGAAAATTTTAAATTCAGTAATTGTCAAGCTTTTGTACTTGATTAATCTTAAGAGGATCTGTTCCCCAGAGTAGCTGCTGCCATCTCTCCATCTGAGATGGTCATAGGTCTTGGAAGGGACTGAGCAGGAACAGAAGTTCTGTGCTCAAGAAGTATGACAAGCCATTGGTTTGGGTCTTACAGTCAGGCCTTGCTTTAGTGGTGAAATGATATAGTCCCTGGGTGCTGTCCTTTTAAGAGCACACACAGATATATACCAGTATTCTTAGGGGAAAAAGAGGAAATGATTTTGTATCTTCTACATCCTTTTATTGGTGTGTGCTTTTCCTTTCCTTTTTATTTTTTTATTTTTGATATTTTATTGATTTTTTACAGGGAGGAAGAGAGAGGGACAGAGTCAGAAACATCGGTGAGAGAGAAACATCAATCAGCTGCCTCCTGCACTCCCCCCACTGGGGATGTGCTGGCAACCAAGGTACATGCCCTTGACCAGAATCTAACCCGGGACCCTTCAGTCCACAAGCCGACGCTCTATCCACTGAGCCAAACCAATTTTGGCCCTTTCCTTTTTTTAAAATTTATTTTTTTAATGTTTTTATTGATTTCAGAGAGGAAGAGAGAGGGAGAGAGGGAAATAAATATCAATGATGACAGAGAGTCACTAATCAGCTACCTCCTGCATGCCCCCTACTGGGGATCAAACCTGCAATCTGGGTATGTGCCCTGACTGGGAATTGAACTGTGATCTCCTGGTTCATAGATCTATGCTCAACCACTGAGTCACACCAGTGGGCTGTGTGTGTTTTTCTATATACAGGTGGTATCATGCTCTAGACTTTATTCTTTAAAAAAATATATTTTTCTGCTCAATACTGTGGTTTTAGACTAACCAGGTTCCTGTGTATAGATCTAGTTCATTAACTCTACTTACGGACTTGTATTCTTCATATCCATAGACTCCTAAGTACTGAACCTGCTTTGCTGTACCTCTATAGCTACACACATAATTCTGCAATGAATATCCTTGTACCTGTCCTTTTATAGACCTGTGTGAGAGTTATCTGGGATCTATGCCCAGGAGTGGGATTGCTGGGTTGAGGGAAATAAACATAGCTTTTTACTAACTCTAGTCCCTGTTTTAATTAATTCATCCAAAACTTACTGCCAGGCATTATTCTAGGTACTAGGGGCACAAGAGTGGGCAACAGATGAAAACCCTGTTCTCATGGTTACATTCTGCTTCAGGGAGATGAAAAACAAACAAAACGAAGTGGTCATGGCAGACTGTGCTATGGAGAAAAATAAAGCTGAAGAAGAGATAGGGAGAGCCAGGCCTGGGGTAGGACTAGGCTGCAGTTTTAACTTTTAAAAAAATGATTTCAGAGAGAGGAAAGGAGAAGGGGAGAGAGAAACATCAATTGACTGCCTTCTGCACGCCCCCTACTGGGTATTGAGCCCACAACTGAGGTATGTGCCCTGATTGGAAATCGAACCTTGACCTCCTGGTTCAGGGGTTGATGGCTCAACCATTGAGCCACACTGGCTGGGCTAGGCTGCAATTTTAAATGGAATGGTCAGGGAAGGCCTCAGTGAGATGATATTTGAGCAAATACCTGAAATGAAACATCTACATATTTGGGGAAAAGGCATTCTAACTAGAGGATTAGCAAATGCAAATATCCTGTAGTTTTAATACTTTGGATTTTAAGTAATCAAAAATAAATTGATGAATCAATTTGTCAAATTTTCAAGTTAAAACTGAGCACTCATTCTCTTTATTTTAAACTGGTTATTATATGTATAGACATGCTTGGTTTCTTAAGATATATAACCAATGTTGGTTCTTTCATAAAATTTAACTGGGTTTATGAATATTCTATAACACCTTACTTCTCAACCTGAACCCAACTAATTTAAGCCTCAAATAGATTATTTTGGTGATGGCCATCTTTGATGAAAAGAAATCACATGACAAGACAAAAAATCCATATTAGGGATTTGGTCAAAACCAAAACAAAACAAATTTCCAGAGATATCCTGAGGGTGTAAAGATTCAGCCTGGGTTCCATTCTATACCAGCTCTCTCTCCATCACACTTCTGCAGTGGGGATTTGTGAACATCTCCAAGAGCCTGAACCATTAAAGAAGGGATCAGTTCTAGTCAGGATGCACAAGGGCTGCCAAGGTTAAAGGCACATTTTTGAAAAACAGAAGGCCCTTGTCATTCTTGAGGGCAGTCTCCTGAGGCCTCCTGAAATTCCCCAGTTCCTGTCACTAACATGTTTATACAGGCTCCTAGCTTACACCTGAATCACATGTTTTGTGGAGAGGCATGCATTTCCTGTGCATGTCCTTCCTTGGTGACTTTTTTTTTTTTTTAGACAAAGAAACACAGTTATATAGTTTAGCTTTTAAGATTAAAGACAGAGGTGGACAAAATGAAGTTGAGATAAAAATGCTGGGTTTGCCCGGCCGGCATTGCTCAGTGGTTGAGCACCTGACCCAGGAACCAAGAGGTGGTGGGTTCGATTCCCAGTCAGAGCATATGCCTGGGTTGCAAGCTTAATCCCCAGTGAGGGTATGTGGAGGAGGCAGCCAATTAATGATATTTCTTTCTCATCAATGTTTCTATCTCTCCTTCTCCCTTCCTTTCTCTCTGAAAATCAATAGAAACATATTAAAAAAAAGGAAGTTGGACTTGAGCTGTTACTAGCCAAATGGTTTCTTCCCAGGTGGACCTCACATGAAATAAATAGCTTCATGTTCTGGGAGCAGTCACAGTAAGAATGCTGAGTTCTCGAATGTTAAGGACCGAAGTGTATGGTGCTATATATGTTTAAGATTTTATTCAATATTTTTGTCACTGATTTATGTGATTAATATTTATCATGCTTACAGGCATGTTTTAATCAAGTGATATGTGTCTTGGAGCAGATGCTGTCTTCTCAGAAGCTTAAAGTTTAAATGTGAAAAATGGGATTCATAATTGTTGAATTTTGATGGTTATGAATTTTAGATCCAATATTTTATAGGAAATATTTAGACTACTTGTATTATAATTACATGCATTTTTAAAGCATGTTGCCACCTTTGGTTATGTTTATAGCATGCTAATGTTCTTTATATATAGTGAGATATATACTTTCTCCCTCCTCTCAACCCTGTGATCAGCCATCTATCCTTATTTAATTAATGATCTGATAAAAAAAAAAAAAAGCATACTTGAATGATGTTAAATAGGTGTTGAAAATGCTCTTTTTTATTAGAGTGCTCAAAGGCCATCCTATATAATGAAGAGGTAATATGCAAATTGACCATCACTCCAACACACAAGATGGCTAGCCCCCATGTGGTCAAAGATGGCCACCCCCTTGTGGACACAAGTTGGCCGGCAGGGGAGGGCAGTTGTGGGCAATCAGGCCAGCAGGGGAGGGCAGTTGGGAGGGATCAGGCCTGTAAGAAATGGCAGTTGGAGGTGATCAGGCCTGCAGGGGAGGACAGTTGGGGGCAACCAGCACTGTGGGGGAGGGCAGTTGGGGGCGACCAGGCCAATAGGAGAGAGCAGTTAGGGGTGACCAGGCTGGAAAGGGAGGGTAGTTAAAAGTGACTGGGCTGACAGGGGAGGGCAGTTGGGGGTGACCAAGCCTGCAGGGGAGGACAATTAGGGGTGACCAGACCAGCAGGCGAGGTCATTTAGGGGCATTTGGGCCATCAGGTTGAGCAATTAGGTGTTGATCAGGCTGGCAGGGGAATGGTTAGTGGGTGATTAGGCTCGTAGGCAGAAACAGTTAGGAGCAATCAGGCAGGCCAGCCTTTGGGAGCCAGCAGTCCTGAATTGTGAGAGGGTTGTCCAACTGCTCATTTAGGCCTGATCCACATGGGCAGTAGGACATCCCTCTATGGGTCCCAGATTGGAGAGGGTGCAGGCTGGGCTGAGGGACACACATTTCCCCCAACTCCCATGCAGGAATTTCATGCACTGGGCCTCTAGTACCTTAATAATAAGATAAATATTATATGAGAGTGAAAATGAATATAATGCAACCTATTATGTGTTATGATTTTAAAATTATTATGAGTTTCCTTCCATGTAGAATATTATGCTATGCTGATTAAATATGTATTTTAATCTTATTTATAAATAAATCTTTTGTTTTCAACCATAAGGAAACCATAGGGACCAATAACGTTTTATATAAATTAATAAAACCACAGGGTACATAAATTATGCTACTAAATATATTCTTTTGTTCAGTATATTTCAAAACTTAAACTGTTTTTATAATGAGGCTAAAGATTCCTGTGTCAGCCTATTTAAAGTATGGTCATATTCTTTTAATGATTTTGTTACAAAACAAATTATAATGATTATAACTCTCTAACCATTATTCAACTTTCTCATGAGATTGCTTATTTTTAGAACTACAGACTTAAGCCATAGGCATTAGCATATAAAAATTTCATAATTTTACTGTAAACCAAGTTAATGATTTTTTTCTCCATTTAGGTACTATTTACATTTACACCATTTGCAGAAAACTGATGATTATTGGCCAGTCTTCCAAGGTATGCAATTTACTGACAAAATATCTTCTCTTGTATTTCCTATTTTTCTTAAGACTTTTGTTAGCATTGAATGCTTAACAAAGAAAACTTAGTGAAGTATTTAGCAAAATCTAGTGAATATGTATTATAGATTTATTATTTTTAATTTTACTTCAATATGATCATAGGTAAAATTGCAGATAACAAAGTATTAAGGACAGAAAAGCATTCCTAAAATTGATAGATATTCTCTGCTATCCCTTGGTCTCTCAGATTAGCCAAACTTGTCAACTTGATACAGAATCTCCACCTGGTAACTATATCTCTAGGTAGGGTGATCATCCATTCTGGCTTGCTCAGGACAGTTCTGGTTTATATCTATAGTCCTGGAGTAATTATTGATAGTGCTTGCTTTCACTCTTAAACGTGTCCCGATTTGAATGATAAACTATGGTTACCCTGTTTATATTGTTCTGTCGAGCTTGGACTTCCTTTTGCTTGAAGAGGTTGGACTTGAATTATGGCCCACATGCTAATGAGTGAATGAGTGAAAAAATGAATGAATGCTAGTGTATTAGGGTGAAGGAACATCTTCATTCTGTTCCAGTCATGACCTGAGGGTAAGGAGCCTTCATTTTATAATAAGACTCTTAGCCCTGCGCACAAATCTGCACAAGTAGCTTGCTGCTGTTTTCCTCAGCTGGACACCTGCCCACGGCCACTGGTAGCTCCACTGCTTGTAGCTCGCTGCCCTGGCCTCCTGGAGCTCTCTGCCCACTGCCCCGCCCTCCTGGAGCTCCCCTCCCTCATAGCTTGCTGCCATGCCCCCTCTTGTAGCTCTCCACCCCCTGCTTGTAGCTGGCTGCCCCACCCTCCTGCTGACCTGGTCATTATGCGGTAGTCATTAAGCCTCAGGGTGTAACGGATACTTTGCATATTTCTCTCTTATTATATAGGATTCCCACTCATCAGTCTTCACTGCTAGGTTTTAGCTTGAGGTTTCTGTTGACTTCCCTACAATGTTGGTAGCATTTATGTCTCTAGGAGACTTATTTATTCCCTGTATTCATTGTTCAATCAGTAGGATGCAGGCCAAGAAGGGAAAATATTCTTAACATTGAATCCATATTCAAATGGCATCTGGGACATTTCTACTTTATTTTTTATCACATGCAAAAACTTTCTAGCACTCAGGAGATACTTTTTTTCTTTCTTATTTTCTCCAAACATAGCCAAGCATCTTAGAAGTCAATAACACTTAAAATTAAAATGGAAGGAAGGATATTTGCATGCTTAATGGAAAACAATTTTGAAATCGCTCTGTTTTGTTCCTCGAGTTGAAAAGCTCTGTTGCTGACAGTGACTTGAGCAAGACAGTGCCAGCTCTTTGAGTGCGAATTAAAATGAGGGGAGACTGTCTCATGAATAATGGAAATTTGGCTAGAGACTATCCCAGTGATTCTACATTTCTTTCCAGTTGATTTCCTGAAAAGAATCTGCATGTTCCTGTTGCTCTTGCTGTAGCAACAAATGCTGCTTCACAGAGCCACCCATAGTTTGGTCTGCTATAGCATTTGTCTGCCAGCTCTTTGAAGGGCAGAGATGTCTGTGCCAAAATCTAACTTGGAATTAATAGATTCTACGATATTCTTTTGTATTTGTACTTGTTAATGCCGAGAGAATTTTAATAGGATAGTCGTTTTAAAATAATTTCTTATTAAACCCTACCTAAGAAATTTTTTTTTCTTCCCCCTTATAGAACTTGAATTTCTCTCTGACAAAATAAGGGCTAACGGAGAATAGTTCTACGGTCCCAGTTTTGTGGGATGGGAGTGTGGGGGGTAGGGGTGAGATACAAGAATTTTGGAGTGGCGGATGGTTACACAGTTGGCAGTTGAAGGCTGGGATAAGATTAATTCAGTTTTTTTTCAGTATAATAAGTTCCAAGGAAATTAATGATTTCCACCCAGAAATTTCTAAACCTTCAGCTGGTGAGTTGATTCCTTGGAGGGGGAGGTGGGACGTGGTAGGGAACCAGCCACATCTGTGCTTTCTTCTGTCTGAGGGACCTGATTCTGTAGCTGTTTTAGAGTTCAACTCTATTATAGCTTGATTCAAAAGAAGAAATAGATATGATATTCTCAGGCTTTTGTTGGTGTAACCCCAGAGAAATATAAACCCCTATCACTGTAAGATTTAGGCATCATTGCTACCCTTTGTTATTATTGGGTCCCTACTATGAGTTAGGTATATGTGTTAAAAGCTTTGTATACATAATAACACTCACTATAGTCTTATGAGGTCGGAACTATCACCATCACCATCATCATTTGTTGAATGAATGCCTACCATTTATCAGGTAGGCTTCTAAGCATTTTTCATATATTATCCAAGCATTTTCATATATTATCTCAGTTTCTAATATTATCCTTATACCAAAAATTTGAGAAAGGTATTGCTTTCTTCTTATAGATGAAAAAGCAAAGATTTAGAAAGGTTAATTTGCTCAATGTCTTACATCTAGTTAAGTATAGCTAAGGCCAGAGTGAATGCCACACTGTATTGCCTCTCAACTCCATTAGACTAAATTTCATTCCTCACGACCCATCCTATTTTGGCTCACTTACTCAAATGGAGAAGCAATATGGGAGGGGTTGGTGACATCCTGAAGACCAAAACTGGATGGAGTTCTTCCCAGATGGAAAATACTTTTGTGTCGAGGGAAGTTACAAAGCTTAAACTTGTATTCAACCAAATGAAATCTATTTACCCTTTAGAGGTAGGGCAGATTTCTGAAATCTTTTTTCCCTAAAGATATATATTACAACTTTGCTTTCACTTATGGTATAATCTGTAATTTCTTCTAAGGCATTTAAAACTGTAGTATAATACTCAGCAAGCATTAAAGAATATAGTAGAATCTATTAATTCTAAGAAAATGTTGATTTATGTTTCATTTATAAAGTTTTTGGGTTGAACAATGATTGTCAAATTATTCCACATTCCATTACATAAACTTCAAATTCAACTTCGAAATGCTCTGTTGTTTCCCTTAAAGGATGATATAAATGATGCTGCAGTGCCATCCTGTGGCTGAACTGATAAATGGTGTGTGGACTGTTTTCGGGGATTGGGTGGGGGCGGCTTTCTACGTACGCCTTAAATAGGAGGAGCTCTTCCGCCGCACCCGGAACCGAATCTCCCGACATTCCCCCTTCCCTCCTCTCCCTCCTTCCCCTCCTCTCCCCCTCCTCCTCCTTCTCCTTCCCATCTTTCCCCCTCCTTCCTCTTCCTCCTCCTCTCTCTCCTTCCCCTTCTCCCCCCTTCCCTCCTCCTCCTCCTCCCTCTCCTTCCCTTCCTCTCCCCTCCCTCCTACTCCTCCCTCTCCTTCCCCTCTTCTCCCCTCCCTCTCCTTCCCCTCCTCTTCCCTCCTTCCCTCCTCCTCTTCCTCCTCCTCTTCCTCTGTGTTTTAAAACTGATTTCAGAGAGGAAGGGAGAGGGAAAGGGAGATAGAAACATCAGTGATGAGAAAGAATCATTGATTAGCTGCCTCCTGCACACCCCACACTGGGGATCAAACCCACAACCCAGGCATGTGCTCTGACTGGAATCCAACCATGACCTCCTGGTTCATAGATAACGCTCAACCACTGAGCCACGCCAGCTGGGCTTCTTCATTTTTATTTTATTTTATTTTATTTTTGACATCTTAAAACTTTTTAATATAAAAACATTGCCAAAACAACAATATCTCTTCCACCAACAGTGTTTTGGCCCATAGGTCATTAACAGTCTCTTCAACCTTCAATATCTGATGAATTAAAAACAAATGGAATTTCATTGTTTCAGTTTAGATTTACCTGGTTGTGATGTAAGCATTTAAAATAGTTTTAAATTTCCTTTTTAAATATTATTTCCTTTAAGTTTTTGATAATATATATTTAGGCTTTTAAAATAAGAACACTTTATTTTAAAATTTTAATTTGGCTTTTCAAGGTTTTTTTTTTTTTCCTATGAAGAGAATAGTCCTACTTTAGTCTCATCAATTTTTAAAACTAATACAAGTGAAAATTAATTTCATATCCTCTTCTATTTGCTTCCGTCCCTCCTGTTTTTCCAGGTTCTTCTGTTTCTTTTCCTCCTCGTCTGTCTTCATTGTCATTACCAAAGCTAACATTTATATTTACTACTAGAGGCCCATTGCACGATGTTCGTGCAGGAATAGGCCTTCCTTCCCCTGGCTTCACCCCCAACCTCCCGGGAACTGGCATATCCCCACGCCTGAGCCACCCAGAGCTGGCAAGTCCTCACTTCTGTCGGGAGCACCACTCCAGTAGCTCCCTCCACAGCCCCCCTTCCTCTCATAGTAGGCTTCACTTGCTCCCCGCCTGCATATGCAAAGTAACCCCCGATTTTGTTGGGTTAATTTGCATACTCACTCTGATTGGCTGTGGGCGTAACAGAGTGATGGTTAATTTGCATGTTTCTCTTTTATTAGGTAAGATGTTCCAAGCATTTAGTGTATAGTAATTTATTAGATATTCAAACAGTCCAAATTACTGTTATACCAATATGGATGAGGAACATGAGGCACATGGAATGTAAGTGAATGGACCAAAGTAACATTGCTAGTATTGGAGATAGAGTTTTAGCCTTATAGGGCAGGAGAAGAGGAGAACAGAATGAGCAAAGACACGTGTATTTGGATCACTGAGGTGTGTTTTGTGGAATAGAAAGAGTTTTGGAACAGCTTAAGGATATGATGCAAGGTCCAGAGTAATGGGGTGTGGAAAAAGGCAGGAATTGTCTTTGCACGCCCTGTATAAAGGCCTGTACTTTATCATATACTCAACAGAGAACAGTTGAAGTGTTTCAAGCATGAGAGTGACACAACCAGTTTTCATATTGAAAAGATTAACTATGGTGGAGGATGTACAAGGAAGGGGCTTATAAGAAGGGGGATGGTGAGGCCAGGGAGACAAGTGAGGGTGTATCCAATACTCCAGGAAGATGTATGAGGACCTGCTTGGTTAAGGCTGATATTCCCATGGATATAATTAGAATGTAATATTCTGAGACATTTAGCTCCCAGATTCTTGTTTTCATTCCAGTAATATTTTTTTATAATGATATGTGAAGAACAGACCAAATTTCTTCTTGTATTCAATCAAATGAAAGGCTATATAATCTACCCTTTGAGCTTTTGGAATATTTTTATTTATTTTATTGATTTCAGACAGGAAGGGAGAGGGGGAGAGAGAGAAACATCAGTGATGAGAGACTCATTGATTGGCTGCCTCCTGCACGACTCCTTCTGGGGACTGAGCCTGCAACCCAGGCATGTGCCCTTCACTAGAATAGAACCCAGGACCCTTCAGTCTGCAGGCTGACGCTCTATCCACTAAGTGAATCAGCTAGGGCTGGACTGTTTTTGAGGAAAGGAAAAAGACTGAAAAAGTTAACTGCAGAATACATGTAGTCATATAGAGTTTCCCAGTATAGGGTTTGTGGGAAGGGCATGTTAAAAAATAATTTGTGGGTAAAAGCCACTCAGGTAAAATAGCACAAGAGGTTTCTCCATGTATTTCTACAGTCAGTCAGACAACAATGATGAGCCTTTCCCCATAATTTTATTTCACATTATACCTTGGGAATAATTATACCGGAAAAAAAGTGTCATTTATGGAGTGTGCCAAATACCATCCTAGCATGCTGTGTATATTGTCTTCTCCATAACAGAACTGTGGTGATGTGCCAGAATACCCATTTTAAAGATGAGAAAGTTGAGGTCTGGAGAGGTAAAATGACACAGCTAATAGGTGATAAATTTGGGCCTGAACCCCAGGTCTATTTGATTCTAATCTTCAACCGTTTCTACTAAGTATCACAGGCCCCAGACTGTAAGTCTTTTTCATTTTCTCTATGCTGCTATACCAGTTTATTTTCAAAATAATACATTGGTTCCAGGCCAGCTAATAAAAATTTTATTGTTGGAGTTAGTTCCTGTACTATTGTTGACACTTGATAGATATTAATAAAATTGAGCTGAGTTCACAGGACTTTAGGAGTTAGAAAGGAAGACATTCTAAGATGGTTAACTTGAGTTCTGCGTTCTTTAAATTATTCCTTTACTTTTTAAAATGCTTGTGTTTTCTTGACTCATTATTTTTGGTTTGAGTATTCAGCAGCATCTTGTTTCAGAACTTATAATTTGATTAGATCAAATAAAAAATCACAGTTATTGGCCTAAAATGAAAATTTATTCAATTATACCCTTTTTTTCTTTTTTCTTTCTTTTCCTAAGACCTTACAGTATCTCCTGTGGGCCAGTGTGTGCATGGAGTCCTCAGTCCCACTCCTGTCTGTCAGGTATTTGACATGGAGAGTTACTCTTTACACTGCGGTCTGCCAGTGCTACTATGACTGCCATGCTGCTGTCCATGGAGAGGTATGCTACTTTTTAATTTAGAGGATTTCAGTATTTAGAATACAATGGATGCAGCATTTTCTTCTTTAGAAATCCTGCAAGAATGAAACAGACACAAACAAACAAACAAAACCCCCCAAACTGAAGTGAAGCAAAGCCAAACATCCCAGGCTAAATTTGCAGAAATTTGCTTGGCTTCTCCTTTCTGTTATCTCTTTGCTTTTCTTTCTTTTCTCTCCTTTATTCTCTACTCACTTCCACCTTCTTTGCTGCTCTTCTGAATAAGATTTCTGATATCTTTCCTTCCTCATTGTATTCTTGTATGCAATTTGCCTCCTTCCTTATTTAGTTTTATTTTTTTTTTACATTCAATATTATTTTGTATGAGGAAGGTACTGAAAATACCTGTATCAGAATTTTACTTTCCTTATTTTTAAGATTTATTATTTCATAAAGTGAGCATATCTGACAGTTTATTAACTTTAGATCTACATAATTTAGTGGTGCTTATAAGAAATGATAGACTGGATAGCTACTGTGATATAGAGAATATAGCCCAGAGTTTAATTCACCAACTAAGTCCAACATATGGGAAAATGAAACATAAATTTGATACATTTTAATCAAATGTCTTGATATTTTTTAAATCAGTACTCTCTTATTAATTGTGAATTAAATTTCTTTTAATTGCATATAGGCCTTTGCTCGGCGTGCTTTAGCTAAAATTGATGAATTAAGGCAACTGGAATTAATGAGCTCCTCACAACAACCAGAAACATCCAGGAGATATTATAGGGAGGCCACGATAAAGGTATGAAAATTTCACGAAATAAAAGAAATGTACTGCACTCTGTGATTGATGAGCTATTTTATATGAGTAGTTGCATCCCACTGTTACTTCACATATAATTCTTCTCTTTGAGGCAGATGGCAGTGATGATCTTCAAAAGAGCAGTATTTGAGTCCAGAAGAAGAAGCAAAAGTTTCTTTAGACCAAAGATAAGAATTAACCTAAAGGAGGTACAAACTGTAAGTAAGATGTCTTTTCTTTTTCAGACTCTCTTGGTGGTGTATTTGTGTTATATACCTCCGTATCTTAAGCTCCGCATGTCATTAGTATTCTCTGCAACCAATGGCAAATAAAGAGAAGAACGCCTTCCCAGTTTGGGCACGAGGTCACTTCATCCCTTTCCAAAGCTTTTGCACCTTTGCACAACCCCGGTTGTGTGACTTTAAAGGGCAAGAGGCTGAGGAAGATCCGGGGAGAGGGTCAGACTCCCAGGCCTCGGAGTGGTTCTGCAGAAGCTCTTGTCCTGGACTGCTCCTGTCAGCTTAGAAGGCTTGGAGGTTGGAGGGAGGGTGGAAGCGCCTCTTCTCCTCCGCTTCAGTTTCTCCTTTGGGAGTGTTTAGAAACTCGCGTAGCAACAGACAGCCCCCCTGTCTTAGAGACTTATCACAAGCCTCTATTTCCCACTGCAAGCAAGTTGTAATTATCAGGGGCCACTCATGACTGCTGCTCAAGGCCAGATTGAAGAGCCATCCTCGTTTAGAAAATTGCTGGTTATTCCATAGGAGGGGTTAGAAGAGAGCTTTGGAGGACCTCACACAGGCGGCAGTGCCCAGCATGGAACTGACAGCAGTTTCTGCTTCTCACATATCAAACCTGGTCACACGGCCCCTTCCAGCCACAAGCGTTTATGCTTGTGGGGTCCTCTGCCTTTTCTCCCTCCTGCCTTTTTCCTTCTCCCACTGCCTTCCCCTTTGTCTTTTGGCATTTCGGTATTCCTCAAGGCCAGTTCTGTATTTATTTGAAGCCTTCCCTGACTGTTTTGGTGGTCTTGAATTTTCTCGTGCGAGTTTCTTTGTAGGGACTGGAAATGGTGGGAAGGGGGAAGGCGATGAGCAGTTTCTGGCAGAAGAGTGGTAGGATCTCAGGGCCTGGAAGGGATTCTAGAAAACATGTGGTTCAATCCCTGTCTATACAGATGGGAAAATAAATCCCAAAGTATGTAAATTACTGGCTCAAGGTCACGAGGCCGCTGCTGACAGCACTGGGACCAGAACCCAGGTCTCTAATCCAGTACTTTCTCACCGCTGCAGTGACTGCTGTTCTCTTAAGACATTTCTTCTTGTGACATGTAGGAGTAGTTCTCCCTTTTTAAAAACTTTAAATAAATTAATATTTAAATCCAGATTTTATTTGGACATTGTAGCTGTCTAATGCTACTTGACCATGATATATTGATGACTGAGCCCAGAAGTACATTTCATATTGTCTTTTAAAATAATATCCCTTACCAACCAGTGAGGTGTATTGGGGGGGGGGGGCGCGGGTGGTATTACCAAATGATAATGAGCTTAAGGATAGATAACTTACCGGATGAGCTGCTGAGCTGCCTGCATCTGGTATTGTTAAGTAGTAATGCTATGGTGTTTGTAAGAGAGCAGGGGACAATTCTTTTTTTCTCAATATAATTTTTTTTCCCCCTCTGAGCAAACCAAATTTAAGTATTCAAAGCTTCAAGATTGTTAATAATTAGCATATTATTAGATCTCAATTTATAATCATCCTGGTATAAAAATAAAATATATTTTCAAAGAAAAATGTTTAAAATTCTAGATAACATTACATTTAAAATAATTTATTCCTGGTTTCCTTTAAGATAATTATTATATGTAAAGTTCTGGTGGTATATCTTTTTAGGAAAAAAACATAATTGTTTAATGGGTACTTTTTACCGAGAATAGTCAACATAACCTTTTTTATAAAGTCATAGTATATTACCTTAACATAGTTTGCATAATGTCCTGTTTTACGTGTACAAAATAATGGTATTATGTTTCCTATAAAAAGTAATTGCAATATGCATTACATTTATTTTATAAAACAGTTTTGAGCTTGTAAGTCAGTTAATAACTCACAGTAAATTATTTAGTCTTTCAAAGGATTCTTTTAAAGAACTACTAATTCAGAACTACTAATGATTGACTTTTTATTGATTCATTCAATAAATATGTTTTAAAGTACTTGCTGTGTAAATAAGATAGATAGAGGTTACATTCTAGTAGATAAGTTACATAATAAATAAAGTAATTGTAGTTTATCATAAGTATTATGGAGAAATAATGGTAGCGATTGAATGAGATACAGATAAAGCCCTTAGAATGTTCCTGGTACATAGTAGGTCCTCACTACATATTAGCTGTTGTCTTTATTTACTTATTTGCTTTAAACAAATTGATTTCTGAGAGAGGAAGGGCAAGGGAGAGAGGGATAAGAACATTGATAATGAGAGAGAATCATTGATCTGCTGCTTCCTGAATACTCCCTCCCTACTGAGGATCAAGCCTGCAATCTGGCATGTGCCCTGACTAGGAATCCAACTGTGACTTTCTTGATATATATTGCCAAATTAATTTCTAAACAGGAATTCTCCAGGGTGACAACCTGCATGTACCAATTTTGCCACAAGCTATTATCATTTTGATATTATCACTTTTTTTATAATTCAGTTTTATAAAATGGTTTTTAAAATTCTATTTTTTAGATTCACCTTTTCCTTATATTTGTGTTTACTCCTTGTTTTCTTTTTTTTTGGTGAATTATCTTTCAGTCTTTGAAAGATAATCTTATCTTTCTATTAGATATTTTAATTTAAAAAATATATTTAAATGAGCTCATTGTTTTTATAGATAATATTTTGCTTGTCATGCTTGACAGCCCATTTTCTATTACTTTTATTTTAAATCTTTTTTATAGATCTTTTTTTTAAAATATGTTTTTATTGAATTTTAGAGATAGAGGAAAAGAGAGGGATAGAGAGCTAGAAATATTGATGAAGGTGAACCAGCTGCCTCCCGCACATTCCTTACTGGGGATTGAGCCTGCAACCCAGGCATATGTCCTGACTGGGAATCAATCCCGTGACACTAGGTTCATACCTGCTGGGGAGAACTTCTAAATATTTATATTTTAAAATCCTTTACTTGGTATTCATATATGCTCTGATAAATATTCTATTCTTTTTGCTAATTTTCCTATAATATTAAAAATACACACACAAGTTCACTGAAATCTATTGGGGTTTTATTCCTGCTTTTGTTTTTTCTGTCTTTCTGACTTTTCCCCAAGAAGAGGAAAGTAACAAAGGAATCATGGGGGAAATGACAGTATGTTCTAACTTGACATGGATTCTAGGAAAACCAGCCAGAGCTGCTTTTCTTATTTCTTGGTAATCTAAATACAGAGAACAGGTAATTTGTCAGAGAGGATACAGCGTGGAGGCAAGCCATCTGCAAGAGGTGAAATCATCCTGGCTGATACAAAGCAGAGTGGCTCACACAGTCACTAGCTTAGTACACCGCTGGTTAATTCTTCTTTAGAGTTAACTAACATAAGGCCAGCTATTTATGCTATGAAATGTTGTTTCAAATTTGGGTTTGAGGACCCTACATCAGATTTTCCTGCAGTGCTTTGTCGGGGTGTTTCTCAGCACCTAGAAGGGCTTAGGAATCTGGAGAGGGGCTGCTAGTAAATTAATAAAGAGATTAGACATGAAATATAAATTTGGAATACATGGGGGAGCCAGAGGAAACCTAGCTTCAGTAACCAAGTTCTCTGAATCTCTGGACCCTTAGCTCTTTATTAACACAAATTTCCCTAAGGCAAAGCAGATATACATATCAAAGGTTAAGGTTTGGTATACAGTAGGCATTGTCAGGTTGGGGCAACTGCCCTTGGCTGCTCAGCTGTTTGGCCAGCAGCAGTAATAACATGTACATTGAAATGCCCTCAGCTGTCTGGCAACAGGCAATAATATATGCATCTTTTTCAGGTTTGGGGAAATGCTCTCAGCTATTCTAGCAGGCAACAATATGATTCAGCCCTGCTGAATATGGAAGTCCTTCAATCTTTTGAGGACTTCTTGCATTTATTATGACATGCTGGAATTAGCTTCCAGCACTGCTTATTAAAATGTCCCACACAGGCCCCCTGAACCTCGGAGATGTGGTCTGTGAATCTCAAAGCACTCCTGAGAGATTCTTAGGCAACCGAAGTTTGAATATCAGTTCCTAAAGGCTGTGGTTAAGGTACCACAAAGCATAGAGATTGACGTTGCCCTAATAAAAAGACAGTGATACAGAGCCATTTTAATGCTGCTTGGGAATGCAAACATATAAAGAAATAGCAAAGTCTTTGATGTAATGGCAACATGACATAAACCTTAATGGAGTCTGGAGTAACACCTCAAAAGAGGAAAATCATAAAAGCAGCCATCTCATTGACAGGCCAACCATTCTTCTTTTATCATTAATTAAGCATAGTTTACTTATCTTTGCCTAATGATATCAGACATTATAGAACTTTTAAAAAATGGGCTGTATTTTTTTTTATTACAGTTGCCTTGGCCACGCACTATCACAGAACGGTTGTTGGATGAGATGTTTGATAGCACTGCATCCCGGTTTCTGGCTGTCTTGGAAGCTCTTTCTGATTCAAATAGGCGGACACTGCAAACTGGACCTATTGTTACAGATGAAATAGAAATTCGTGATGTTGTCTCAGAACTGTTTATAGCAGGACGGGAACTTCTAATAAGTAAATAAGTTGTTAAGATAATATTTTATTGTAGCACAGGAGTAAGAGCAGTTTTTGGTGTGTTAGTTCACACATAAGTTCATACACAATTTTTATTGACCTTGAAAATTCAGCAAACTTGTTAAACTCAATGGGTAGTTCAAATAACTTCGTAGGTTTTCTTTTAGATTGTTTTATATATGCATTCTGTCAATAATGTCAATTGTATTTCTTTCTAATTGTTAAGGTTTTTTATTTTTTCTTATATTCCTTGATTTATTATGCTGGATAGGAAAGTGGTAATAGCATTTGCCCTAGCTGGTGTGGCATAGTTTGGTTGGAGCAAATATATTAAGGTTTTCTCCCCATCTTTACTTTCCCTTTCTGACTGCTGCTTCCCCCCACCCCCCACCCCCGCAATGCCTTTGATGGTAATAGATTGGGTGGTGATATAATTTGCCATCCAAACTGTTTTTTATTATTTCTTTTTTTAATTAAAAAATTTAAATGCTGACATTATTGCAGACTTTACCCATCCCCCCTTCCACCTTTGCCCACCTCCAACTACCCCTGCCTCCCACTATTTAGGCCTTTACCACACTATTGTCTGTGTCCATGGGATATGCTTATATGTTCTTTAGCTAATCCCTTCAACTTCTTTATCTAATCACCCTTCCTCCCTATTCCCTTGGGCACTGTCCATCAGTCTGTTCTATGTATCCATGCTTTGTTTCCATTTTGTTTGTCAGTTTATTTTCTTCATTAGATTCCACATATTAAGGAGATCATATTCAATTTGCCTTTCTCTGATTGGCTGATTTCACTTAGCATAATACTCTCCAGGTCCAGGGTAAGAGTTCCTTTTTTTTCGATTATCTATGGCATAGACTGCACATGTGTCAAACACAAGGCCCGCGGGCCAAATCCGTCCCGCCAGGCCTTGCAATGTGGCCCACACTGCGCTGTCATCACTGCACTCCGCTGCGTTTCCATCACAATGACAGTTTATGACTGTTCAGTAAACCATTCGGCCCGCGATTTAGGCTGGATTTTAGATTTTGGCCCCTTCTCTGATTGAGTTCGACACCCCTAGCGTAGAGTGTAAGCTCTGTGAAGGCCTGAATTGTGTTTTTTTTTTCTTCTTCTTCCCCATTGTCTCCTTAGTGCCAGACCATGTTTGATAGTTAATATTTAGTAAATACTTACTTGTATGAATGACATTCCAATCTCTCTCCTTTCTTAGTGTCAAACACTGCTATGGATGGAATGCTTGGCTTTCCAAAAGTTTCCCTTCTGCAACTTATTATAGAAAGAAAAAATATTATTTCTATGGATGCTGCTGTAAAATTTATAAAATTAGCTTTTAACTATGAGGAATGGAGTTTATTTGAATCAGCAGCTGGACAGCTTATTGATTTTCTCCAGGTAATATGTGCAAAATCATTCATTTGCTTTTATATTGTTAAGATGACATTGAGTTGCTAATTACTGTGTGTGTGGGGGGGCGTTTATACTTCACTTAGACACTGGATGACCCAGAGTCAAAGAAAGCAGAGAAGGACTTAACTCTTCTTTTTGCAATGGAACCTCTAGTCAATGTAAAAAAGAACAAAGGTTTGGTCTACCCTTTGGAAAACTACAAAGAAGGACAGGCAGCCTATTATGCTAAAAAAAATTTTCCTGGTGAGTATTTATTTGCCTTTTTGAAAATTAAGATAATTTTATCTGATAAAACATGCACTTTAAGAGTGAGGTGAGAGAATGTTCAAGGCAGAAGGAGTAGGAGGTACAAAGGTCCTGAGGTGAGACTGTGCTTGGTTGTTGAAGGAATAGCACGGAGGTAGGTATGACTGGAGTGCACTGGTGGTGGCTGTGGAATTTGAGAATGTGAGGAGATGAGGTCAGAGGCATAGCTGGGTGCCAGATCTTGCAGCATCTTAGGCCTTGTAAGGATGGTGGATTTTATTCTGAGTGGTGGGTTTTGAGTAGCAGACGAGGTTTTACTTAGCAATTACCTTGGTTGGTAGGTGAGAGATGAGTAGGGCAGTAAAGCAAAAACCATTTGTTTGGTAAGGGAAATATACCTGCAGAATTTTCCAGCAATAAAAGTTATCCTGTCTAATAGTAGAGTAATATACAAATTAACCATCACTCCACAACAAAAATGGCGGCCCCCATAGCCGCAAGATGGTGTGTCTGGCCTGTCCGCGGGATCCACCTCCTGCTCCACCACTGCTGCAGTGCCTGGGCCTGTCAGCTCTGCTGAGGTTGTGGGGGACCAAGCAGTGAGGCTTGATCCGCTCCCAGACATGGCAGACAGAGCCTGGACAGCAGGGCATGGAGGCTTCCTTAGTGCAGTGGCAGTGGGGGAAGACCTAGGTCCTGCAAACAGAGCCTGGACAGCAGGGCTTGGGTGCTTCCTTAGAGCCGAGGCAGCGGGAATACCCCCAGGCCCAGGAGACAGAGCCCAGACAGTAGGGCTTGGGAGCTTCCTTAGTGCTGCAGTGGTGGGGAAGTCCCCAGACATGGCAGATAGAGCCCAGAGAGCAAGGTTTGGGGGCTTCCTTAGCAAGGTGGCAGCAGGAACACACCCAGGCCCCACAGATAGAGCCAGGACAACAGGGCATGGGGGCTTCCTTAGTGTGTTGGTGTTGGCGAAGCCTCCAGGCCTGGCAGACAGAGCACACTGCAGGGCATCAGGGCTTCCTTTGCATGGCACATGGTGAGGCAGGCAGAGAGGAGAGAGCAGGGTATGGGAGCTTCATCTCCATGGCTGCAGTGAAACCTTCAGGCCCCGCAGAGAGCAGAGAACCACAGAGAATGGGCCTAAGCCATCAGTAGGATATCCCCCGAGAGCTCCTGGATTGTAGAGGGTGCAGGTTGGGTTGAAGGACCCCTGTGCACAAATTTCGTGCACCGGGCCTCTAGTTGTTTAAATAATTGAAAATCTGCAGCCTCTATTTTTTAGACCAGTGGTTGGCAAACTCATTAGTCAACAGAGCCAAATATCAACAGTACAATGATTGAAATTTCTTTTGAGAGCCAAATTTTTTAAACTTCCTCTAACTCCACTTCTTCAAAATAGACTCACCCAGGCTGTGGTATTTTGTGGACTCAAGGGGCCAAAGAGCCACATGTGGCTCACGAGCTGCAGTTTGCCTATCACAGTTTTAGTCCAATGAGAATTATTTAATCTGATTTTTATGGTTTATCATGTTCTTAAGACATTGTTTGGCTGCTCAATTGTAGTAAATAATTTGTACTGAGTAATGGTACACATTTTTTTCCAGTAGTTTCTGAATAGATATTTTTGTTATTTTTATTTCAATTACCATATTTCATATATGTTTTAATATTACAAACTTCTTTACTTCCATAGTGGCCATACAGATTGTAGATTCATAATAATGATGATGATGATGATGATAACAGTCAATTTTAATCAAATAACAGCCAAGTTCAGTTAGTTTTCATATAGAAGCATCTGAAGTTTCTTACTGACATAGTATTTGCCTGGATATCAGTTGTATCATTTTTGTAGAATTTCTATGTTTCTGTGCTTTTCTATTTGAAATTTTGTAACTGATTTCTGTTTTATTTTCCTTTACTTTATGAATTGAGATTCTTGTATGAAGAATTATGGATATTCAGAAGATATTTTTCAATTAGCAGCAGTCTTGTATTCCTGTGTCTGCAACTGTTCCCAGGTGAAATAGCTATTTGGGTAATTTTTAATTGTATCAAAGGAGGCCATTATATCTAATTTAAAGTGAGAGTTAAATCTCCCAGGAATTGAATCTTTCCAAAATTCTATATATTTTAAAAAAATTTAAATATATATTTTTTTATTGATTTTTTACAGAGAGGAAGGGAGAGGAATAGAGAGTTAGAAACATCGATGAGAGAGGAACATCAATCAGCTGCCTCCTGCACATCCCCTACTGGGGATGTGCCCGCAACCAAGGTACATGCCCTTGACTGGAACCTAACCCGGGACCTTTCAGTCTGCAGGCCGATTCTCAATCCACTGAACCAAACCAGCTAGGGCAATTTTAAATCTTTATAATAATATTTTTATCCTGACATAATTTTAAGTCTCTTTTTATTATAGTCACCATTTTGGATGTCAACCTGTTTTTTTGGGAAGTTTTTAGGTTGCCTATATTCTATATAATCCTATATAATAAAAGACAATATGCAAATCGACCAAACAGGGGAAGGACCAGTCACTATGATGTGCACTGATCACCATGGGGGCTGACGCTCAACACTGGAGCTGCCCCCTGGTGGGGAGTGCTGCTCAGCCAGAAGCCTGGCTTACAGCTGGCGAGTGCAGTGGCAGTGGCGGGAGCCTCTCCCACCTCTGCAGCAGTCCGACATCCCCTGAGGGCTCTGGGACTGCGAGAGGGCACAGGCTGGGCTGAGGAACCCCCGCTTCCTAGTGCACGGATTTCGTGTATCAGGCCTCTGGTTTCTAATAATGAAGGAAACTAGTGTTTTTAATGAAGAGTTAATGTTCTTGGTGACACACTGCTTTTCAGTCCTTAAGTACAAAGCCTGATTATCATCTGGAATCACTTTGCACACCATGGCCAGTGTTTAGAAATGACCTATTCATGGGTAGGAATATTTAAATAAAAATAGTACAATACTGGTTTTAACACTGAATTCCAGGATCTCAGGCTTTCTCTGAGGTTCATCGGGAGCCCAGATTTGGGTAGTAATATCATGGCCTGTTTAATTAGTTGAGATTCTGATGGAATTTTATTTGGAAAATTTGCTTTTACTGTTATAGGAAGGTCTGAAAACCACAATTACAGAACATTTTATTAACTTTTGTTCAAGTAAGTGAAAGAGTGAGGGACTTGAGATGATCTATTGTTACAGTATTTTCTATTTCTTTTGGGTCTATTAGATTAGGTTATAACTTGCAACCGTTTATTTAATTTTTGAAAGAAAGATATTTGGTAGCAAATATGAAGATTATAGTGAGAGAGCTAAGCCCAAAAGTTTTAAACAAGGCTGAAAAGAATAAGGACTTTTTTTTTTTTTTTAAATCTGTCTGCTTTTTAAAAATCATGCCCATTTTAGTTCAGTTCAGTTCAATTCAATAAACACTTATTTATCCTTGTTATGTTCCCAGCACTGTTCTAAGGCGATACATATACAGATTAATCTTAAAGTTTCCCCAAAGGAGCTCAGTTTTGTGTTTTAATCATAAACTCATTATCTTTGTAGTTCAGATATAATAAGTATGTAATATTTTGTTTAATTTCTTCATGTCTCTTTTGCCTGGTCTATATACTTTCCCACCTCCCATTCTCTCTCCTCTTACTAGTTAACCACACCCCATTTTATTATTATTATTATTATTATTATTATTATATGGGAATTTAAAAAAAATATATGTATATGTATATATATATAAACATCTCAAATTTGGTTTCTGTACTTGCTAAAAATGTTTGAGACTTCTTTTTAGAGAGACAGAAATAGCCTAGCACATTCGTTAAGACTGAGGTCCCTAGAACTAGACTGTATGGGTTTGAATCCCAGCTCTGCTACTTTCTATTCATTTCATCCTGGAAAGTACAGTCAATCTTCTTTGCTTCAGTTTGCTCCTCTGAAAAGTAGGGATGATAGTAAAGTGGGATAATGAGATTGCTGTGAGGATGAAATGATTTGGTATATGCTTTAGTTTGTTCAGGCTGCTATAACAAAAAATGCCATAGACTAACCAGCTTAAACAACAAACATTTATTTTCTACAATTTTGGAGGCTGAGAAATTCAAGATTAAGGCACTGGCAGACTTGGTGTCTGGTGAGGACTCACCTTCTGGTTCATAGATGGCTGTCTTCTCCCTGTGACCTCGCATTCATGAGGGCTTCCCCCTTATGCCTCATTCCTTCCTAAACCACTTCCCAACGAGATTACATTGAGGGTTAGGATTTCAACACATTCAACCTCATCTATATATCTTATTATTCCTGACAATTTACTTTCTCATTTTTATTTTCAGGATGTTCAGCCTGATAAAGAAATTGTGGTGGACATGATAATGTTCTTATGGCAGAGATGCAAATTAGGAATTCAGCGGCTCAATATATCCAGAAACGACTATAGAAAATATACCCAGAAAATCAGCACTAACAAAGTATTTATTTTTTCCCTTTCACATGTTTTTTATTATTGCTAATTTAAATTGTGATAGTTAAATTGTTCCTGTTTTTCTACCTGCATAACTACTATTTTGTAAATATATTGCTGAGTGAGCTTTTCTTTTATGTGTGTTCACTGTACTTCTGTCCCAGTTTAGCTTTGGGGACTGGGGGCATGTTTCAGGTTTTTAAGGGAGGAATAAGTATGTTTCTAAGGTCAAATGAGTTTAGGTAAATTTACTAACTTTAATCTTAGAAAATCAAATAACTAAGGAGTTATATTTATTTCTGCAATAATATATTTAGAATACTAGTAAATAAAGAGATACCAGTAAATAAATAAAATATTTTAAAATAAATAAAATGCCAGTAAATAAATAAAATACCCGTAAATAAAGAAATACCAGTAAATAAATAAAAATTTCTCCTGCATTTCCAGAGTATCATATTGTGTGTGTGTGTGTATATATATATATATATATATATATATACATATATATATATATAAAATATATTTTATTGATTTTTTTACAGAGAGAAAAGAAACATCGATGAGAGAGAGACATTGATCAGCTGCCTCTTGCACACTCCCTAATGGGGATGTGCCTGCAACCCAGGTGCATGCCCTTGACCGGAATAGAACCTGGGACCTTTCAGTCCGCAGGCCGATGCTCTATCCACAGAGCCAAACTAGTTTCTGCCAGGAGAAAATATTTTAACAATAACAGTCTCCTGGGATTCTGAGGCTTGCTGAGATTAGCTACATTAGGATACCTGGGCATGATTTTATCAGATGCTCTGATGAAGTAATGATCTGGGTGCATAAATAGTATTTCCTTGTTCTTCAAGTGTGATGGCTTATTTTGTGCTAAGCTTTGGATTTTATAGGCTTGAAAGACTGTGTTCAAGGGGCATGCCATGAAACTCGAAATATTTTAGAGGACTTTGATATTGAGCATAACAGCTCCTTTTAGGAAGGGGAATCAGAGTTTTGAAGATAATCTTCACTGATACATAAAATATTCACTGATAAATGAAAATAACATGATAAATTTTCCTTATGGTTATAGATATGCAGACCAGAAGCTTAAGTGGATCTTCTTTATAAATTTACATAAATATATTGATTGTATATATAAAAGCCTAAGCTACTGTTAAGATTGGATGACCTGACAATTGGCCAGTAACTGTGATACACACTGACCACCAGGGGGCAGACACTCAATTTCTTGTGGTTCCTCCCACAACTAGCCAACTTCCTGTGGTCTCTCCCCCTGGCCAGCTGGCCCTGATTGGGACTGGGCAAAAAAGCCCTGATCTCTGGCCAGGCCAAAGGACCCCATCTGTGCATGAATTTGTGCTGGGCCTCTAGTTAAAAATAATTTTATTAGGGTCATTGAATTTTATATTGTTTAGTAGAGGCCTGGTGCACAAAATTCATGTATGAGGAGGGTCCCTCAGCCCAGCCTGCACCCTCTTCAATCTGGGCCCAAGGATCAGGCCTAAAATGGCAGTCGGACATTCTTCTCACAATCCTGGACCACTGGCTCTTAATTGCTCACTTGTCTGCCTGCCTGGTTGCCCCTAACTGCCCCCCCACTTGCTGGCCTGATCACTCCTCACTGCCTCTGTATGCCAGCCTGGTCATCCCTTTCTGCCCCCTCTGCCAGCCTGGTTGCCCCTAACTGCCCCCCTGCTGGCCTGATTGCCCCCAACTGCCTTCTTACCAATCTAGTCACCCTTCACTGCCTGCCCCCCTGCCAGCCTAATCATCTTCAATTGCCCACCCTGCTAGCCTGGTCGCTCCTCACAGCACCCCTCCCCCCACACTGGCCTGGTTGCCCCATGCAGCCTGCTTGTTCAGTTGTTTGGTTGTTCCTCACTAACCCCCCTGCCAGCCTATTCATAGGCAGCCATCTTGTGAGGGCACGATGGTCAATTTGCATATTACCTCTTTATTATATAAAATAATTAAGATGCACTAATACAGAGGGATACTATATATAACATTTTAATATAATTAGTAGATGAGGACTTCAAGGAAGTTTTAGGTTTTGAACAGTGTGACTCTTTCTATAATATAATATACTTTAATTTGATTTTGTTGTATATTTTCTCTTTTCAGTGGATTTATCTTCTGTGGCAAATAAATGAACTAATTCACTGCTACAAAATGGAAGACTTTGACATTGTAGTAGTGGCAGAGGTCACATTACGATTAAGTGAAATATTGGAGAATTTAGGAAACCCGAAAAGAACATTTAAAAGAACTCTAGGTAGAATATCGAATAAAAAGGATGAATTATATATTAATGTATATATACACATATGAGTATATAGGTACAAATTGGAATACAGGATAAATTTTTTTTTAATGGAAACTAGACATTTCAATATTGTGCTTCATCAAAGATGATTTATAAACAGAGAACGATATAAGTTTAACCAAGTGGATATTAAAAATAGTTATATTCTGTATGAATCAATGGCAGATGAAACTCTTACAGTAATATTTCTTCTCCATTCTTCATCACCACCTGCTCCCCCCTTCCTCCTTTATGTTCTTTTCTCCTTTCATTCTGTTTTATACTTCCTGCTCTTCCATTTCCTGATGAGAATGTGTGTTTTTTGAAGAGAGCATGTTTTAGTCACCATGTTATTCTTGGTTCCTACCACAAGTTTCCAGCTCTGCCTGTCCTCTGTTGCTAAACATGGCTTTGCAGGTGGAGTTTTAGAGCCATGGTTCTCACACTTTGATTGGTATCAGTATCACTTGGGAATTTGTTAAAACTGTAAGGCCCAGGCCATATTCCACTTCAACTACCCTGGACCTTTCTAGTGTTTATTGGCTTACCAGGTGATTTTGGTATGTGTTAAAGTTTGAGAACCACTCGTTAGAGGTGTCTAGCTAACACAAGCCATGGCCTGAAGTCACATTTTTTTGAAATGTCCTGTTTAAAATTTTTTTTGTGTGTGTAAAACTTGTATTAAGCAGAATTTCAAATATAAAATAGATGAAATAAATCACCATGTATGCATCATCCAGTACTAATAATTATCAACATCTTGTCAATCTTATTTCATCTCTCTCTGCAACACTTTCTTTTTTCCTGAGGTGTTTTAAAATAAACATCATGTTATTCCTCCAACAAATACCTCTTTCTCTCTTTTTCTCTCTCTCTCACTCTGTCTCTCTCTCTTTCTCCCCCCCACCCCCCGCCCCATTGGTCCACAATGCCAATATTATTATACCTTACATGATCTGTGAAAATTCCCATTTCTGATTGTAGTAAAAAAAACCATAACTTATTTGACTGTTACAATATTTTAAAAAACACCAGCAGTCTTTTTTTTTGTTAACAGCTTAACATTATTAATATCTAACAGACCTTTGTATCTACACATGATGCACACTTTATATTTAGAATAAAAACTACTTTATACCTTACAGTTTAAAATGAAATTCAGGAAACTGTTATCATTTTAGACTATCATTGTTTTTTTTCCCAATCAAAATTCAAATAAGTCTCTCTCTCTCTCTTTTCAGAAGTAACTGTAAGTAAAGGACCTAGTGAATTATTTGGGACTCCAAGCGAGCGCCGGGAAATTCTTCCAATATTACAGGTCTTACAAAATATATTCTAAAATAGTTAAAAACATGAATGTTAATTTTTGAATAATATTAACTTTGTAAATATATAATGGTTAATGATAAAGGTAATTTTGAATATTTAAACTTTGACAATTTATGGTTTCTACATACATTTAGAACTACAAGGCCATTTTCCTACCTTTTGCTGTAGAATTTTTGAGTTCTTTACACTGTATTGTGTCTTGTGAAGAGAGCTAGATTTAAGAAATCTTAAAAAGAGATTATTTTAACTGTATTAAGAGATTGAGGAGGCCTAATAACTGTCTGCCAGTGCTGTTTTCAGGGATTATTTATAGTGCTTCCTGTTTTCCATTCTAGACATACTGAAACATAAATTCAGGTGTGAGGTTTTTAAAAATTCTTAATTCAGATATGTTCCTCTTAAAAGTTCCAAGGTGGATTCTTAAGACACAAGAATTTGAGAATCACTGGGTTAGTGGGCTGGCTCTCACTCTCTAAGACCTCATTGGCAGAGATGGGAATGCTAGTGGAAATTTTGAAGTGCTGGTTTTGGCTTGTGATGGAAAATTTCTGGCAACTATTGCCACTAAATGAAATGGGTTTCTTAGGAGGTGTTCAATTTCCCACAGCAACAACAACAAAAAAACTAAACATCACTTATGAACTGTTGCTGTTATTTAAGTTATAAAAATGTGCTCTGTCCTTGCGATGATTTACTGTTATATGATGGGAAATTGTCAAAATCAATATACAAGTCTGATGTCAACAGTGTAAATGGCATCCCCTAAAATTGTGCAATATACAACATTCCCAGCTACACTGGGGCACATGGTTGAAGCAGTAGAGGTGATTCATTGGTGTGGTCAAGGGCACACTCAGTGTTGGGAGACCTGAAGTTAAGTCCGACTCTGAAATTGATTGTTTGTGTGATCTTGAATAAATAATTTTATCTCTTTTAATGCTAGTATACTTATCTGTAAAATTCTGGTACTACTTAAGTTGTATAATTTAAACAAAATATTGGTAACCCTGTGGAAATAGTACCTGGCATATGGTAGCTCTTCAGCTTTTCCCTTATGTTTTTTTTAAAAATATATTTTATTTATTTTTCACAGAGAGGAAGAGAGAGGGATAGAGAGTTAGAAACATCGATGACAGAGAATCATCGATCAGCTGCCTCTTGCACACCCCCTACTGGGGATGTGCCCGCAACCAAGGTACATGCCCTTGCCCGGAATCGAACCCGGGACCTTTCAGTCCACAGGCCGACGCTCTATCCACTGAGCCAAACCGGTCTCGGCAGCTTTTCCCTTATGTTTCATATAGAGCACTGGATCTTAAACTAGGGTCTCAGCCCATGTGGGGGGAGTGAAGTGGAGAAAATGAGTGATAATTTATTGTCAGGACAGTGCAAAATCCATATGCTCACCTAGCAGAGTCTGTAAGAGAAATAAATGATGTATCTTGCATATATACCGGCAAGTATTTTAAAAATATGAACTGCTATTATAATTATGTAAAATACTATTTGAAAGTTATATTGAACATGTGACAACTATTTTTTCAACAAATGGATAATAAAATTATAACAACTACGGAGTATCTACCTCATAGGACTGTGGAAATTTAAAAGTTAATCTTATGTGAAGCATTAAGCTTAGTACCTAGAACATGTTTTAATTAAATGTTAGCTGTGGTGATGAAGATGATGATAATAAGATGGTGGTGGTGATGATGATAGAATGTGAGTGTGTGTGGGGGGTCTTTGAAATTCTTTGATGGTAAAAAGATATCCTTAGAGATTTGGGTTTCTTGAAAAGCAGCAAACTAGGCGATCAGAAAACACTCTTGGTGCAAAAAACACCTAGAAGTTATAGACAGAATTGAACAAGTATTCTCAAGTACATTGCATAGTTCCCTAGACAGTAAGGTAAATCCCAGGGGTCAAAATAGAAAGGGGAACTGAAAACCAGAAAAACTTTTTATAAGTAGATGCTGCAGTAGGTTGATGGGCTCAGTTACATGCTTAGATAACAGCCATCCTGGGACAAGAGACGAGGCTTGGGCACAGAAAGATGAAGGCTTGGAACTGAGACTCACACATCGAGTTAGAATTTACAAAAGACTACATCTTAGGAAAAAATCTGGCTATTTGTGTAGGGAGGTATCTCAGTGGGTATTGAGAAGAGGAGTAGATGAGAGAAAGTCTCTAATGATTTATAATTTTGGGCTTGTCCTCAATTAGGTCTATTATTTGAGTTTATACTATTTGAGATTCTCAAAAACTCCATGAGACCATGATTCTTTTTATTATTATTATTATGAATTCTTTTTCGTTGGTGCACACACATGTAGTTCAAGTGCTGGACATTAAACCCATCCTGTGGCATGACATTGTCACACAAAATATAATAATCACAATAACTGGAACACGGATTCTTGGTTGAGCCAGATTTCTATAAAAAGGGTACTGTGGACAGCACTTCCATCTCTTGAATTTAACCTTTCTTGTGAGCCTGTGGTTCTTGTATCTCCATTCAAGAAGGGGAGGGGCATATATTACATATCTTGAATGGATATATTTAACCAAATTGTGTATATTTTAGGAATGCAAGGATGATTTAACATTAGAAAATATATAACACAATACATCACATTAGCAGATAAAAGGGAAAAAAAAGTATGCATCCCACTAGTTAAAGAGATGTAATAAAAGCATTTGACAAAATACAATCAGAATTCTGAAAACCATGAAAGGAAGCTATGTACATGTTTGTGAAATCTAATTTGTATTTGGGAAAAAAGGATGAGATGTATTCATTACTTTACCTTTATTAATAATACTCCATATTTAATCAAAAGGCAAATATACTTAATAATAACTATAATACTGTTGATATTGGATAGACTATTTAATTTGTTGCTTGGTTTTGAATTATTGCTAAAAGAAGTTTAGAAATGTTGCATATGAATTTTTCTCAACTTTTCTTTTTCTTTTTTATTTATAAAACCACTTTAGAAAAAACCCTTGGAACAGTTATATTTGGCTTATGAACTTCTTGACAAAGCAATCCGTGCAATAAATGTCAATTGCATGTTAGCTACTTTGCCAAATGGATTATCAGTGTTTGATCATTGCTATATCAAGGTAAGAATGGGAAACTCATAGATTTAAGTTTTACTTAACTGGGATGAGGGCTGGCCTTGCAAATAGATAAGAAAGCATGATTTGTGGTGGCTTCCCTTTCATAAGCCAGGAACATATTCAATCCCCTCATCCCAGAAGAAATCAAGAAGAGTGAGGAGTCTTTGTATTTGTCATTAAAGATGAATTTATAAGCCAGAGTGTAATGGGTTGAGAATGAGGAGGACTTAATGGCTAGGAGTAAAATAACTTGCGTGCTCATAGGGTAGAACTATTATTAGTATGTTTTTGTCACTATGTTTCTTTTTTATTTTTACTTCAACTCTATCAAAGTACACCCAGGATACAGATGGAGACATTGCCAAACCAATCACACCAAATAATTTCATCATGGATTTACATCTTGAATTAATTCAAGCTCAGCATCAAATAGCTGTTGTGCTTCTTGACCAACTGGACGGTATAGTCATCAAAGCAAACAGTTTGTTCTGAATCAGTTTTAAGCTAAGTTTAAAATTAAAATTGGTAAATTATGTTCTTGTCAACTGGGTATTTATTATTTTGTTTTTTCTTACTTCTCCAGTAAATATCAATAGATAGCTTTTATTATTCTTTACACCTTGCATAGCTAATAAGCTAGTAAACTTATAAAAATTGTTTATTTGAGCTATTGTAAATTATTGGTATTTTATGAAATCAATGAAATGACCATTTATTGAGTGCCTACCAAAATCCAAGAATCATGATAGGCTTGTCACATATGAGACACCCAGCCTCTACTTTTGAGCTTATAGATAAGCCAGTTACAATGAGGGCGATTACTAAATGTGATAGAAGTGGGTTCAAAGTTTTAGTTGTGGGCACACAAAAGATGAGTATCCATGTGGAATAAGAAAGTCAGGGATGACTACCTAGGAAGCTAGTAAATACTAGTTTTATGAAGAAGATTGAAAGGAGGCCACAATTTTGGAGAGAGAAAGTAATCTTGAGCAAGGTGGAAGCAAGCAGTTGTAAGGAGCAATTCTAGGAATGACTGGAATTCTCATGGCTGGATAAAGCGCACAGGGAATAACAGATATGTCTAGGGAGGTAGATCACAGATAGGTCTTGAAGGGCTAATGGGTTTATACTTTACCCTGAAAGATAATGAAAAACTGAGAAAGACATCTCCGACAGAGGACAGGTGATTTGAATTTAAGTTGTTTTGACAAGAATAGCTTTAAGAAAATGTGCCAGCAATAATACAAATAACGTGTTTACTTGAGTCTCAAAATAAGATTTAGTACCATTAGGCCTAGAAACTCTTCTGTTTAGGATTAAATTTTGATAAAGCCATCTTACTCTTGATATGATTATATAGCCACTATTAATATAACTACCTTTCTCCATTTTAACTTATTGAGTAATTAAAGATAGAACTAAGTGTTGTAGCCTATTATGACTTCTGATCTCTGTCTAAAGCATTCAGAAGCATATCATACATACAGCTAAATAGTATATTAGATCTTTTTATCAATATTAAAGATGATTTTATTTATATGAAATAGAAAAAGCATATTTTTGAGTTAGAAGTAATTTGAAAATTCTTATGTCCTTACATAAACTGTGGCAAATATAAGATCAGTAAAACTGCACTATAGTATATTTGTTTGAATTTTTATCTTTTGATGGATAAAAATAACATAGTGTTTTACAAATAGATAACTATTCTTCAGCTAGAGGCCTGGTGCATGAAATTTGTGCACGGGGGTGAAATGGGGGGTGGAGGGTGTTCCTCAGCTCAGCCTGCACCCTCTCCAATCTGGGATCCCTCTCACAATCCAGGACTGCTGGCTCCCAAATGCTCACCTGCCTGCCTTCCTGATTGCCCCTAATCACTTCTGCCTGCCAGCCTGATCATCCACTAACTACTCCCCTCCAGCCTGATTGATGCCTAACTGCTCCCCTGAGAGCCTGTTTGCCCCTAACTGCCTTCCCCTGCAGGCCTGGTCACCCCTAACTGTCCTCCCCTGCAGGCTTGATTGCCCACAACTACCCTCCCTTATAGGCCTGGTCCCTCCAAACTGCCCTTCCCTTTTGGCCATCTTGTGGAGGCCATCTTGTGCATTGGAGTGATAATCAATTTGCATATTACTCTTTTATTAGATAGGATAGAGGCCTGGTGCATGGGTGGGGGCTGTCTAGTTTTCCCTTGGGGTGTGGGCAGCCTGGGTAAGGGGGCTGTGGTGGTTTGCAGGCTGGCCATGCCCCCAAACGACCCAAGCAGAGAGGTCCTGGTACCTGGGATTTATTTATCTTCTATAATTGAAACTTCATAGCCTTGAGTGGAGGCCAAGGCTGGCTAGGAAGCTTGGCTTCCTCCATCACTGGGGGAAACCCAAGCCTCCTGCTCTCTCCAGCTCTGTGGTCGCCACCATTTTTGTTGGGATTTATTTATCCTCTATAATTGAAACTTTGTAGCCTTAGGCAGAGGACAGGGCTGGCCAGAGTGGGCAGAAAGCTTGGCTTCCTCCATCGCTGGGGAAACCCAAGCCTCCCTCCTGTTTTCTATGTCTGCAGCCATCTTGGTTTGGTTAATTTGCATGCTTGCTCCTGATTGGATTGTGGGCATGGCTTGTCCGTGTAGTGGAGGTATGGTCAATTTACATGTTTCTTTTTTATTAATGTAGATGTTTAGAAAATATTTCCTTTCTTGAATATGAGCTTAATTATAATGGCAGTCTCCTTCTTCCTCTTCAGTTTTTCAGATTCCAACCGTTAGCAAAAATATATCTACCAAAATTCCAGAAAAACTAAAACAACCTGAACACATTGATTGTTTTACAGGTAATTAAAACTGGGATGACCTGTCTTTCCAAAAATTTGTAAAGATAGTTTTTATGTTACCTTTTTGATAATGTGTTTGATTACTGTTTCAGAAGTCAGTGTAATGAATAAAATAAGGAAGAATAAGCTATCTAAAGCAATTTATTTGATGAAGAAAGCGCTTCTAATATTTGAGAAAGATGCAACCTCTACCTCTTCACATAACCTTTTGATGGTAACAATATATCCTTGCTTCTTTTAGTCTTGACATACAACTTCTGTTAAGTGAATGATTTACTTCCCTTTCCTAAAAATAATGTGTTGTCCTTAACATTAATTATGAAACTTCAGGTTTACCAAATCTAGTGATCTGAGAAGAAACAGTCTTGAGCAAAAGTAGGTTTATAGTTGTTCATATGGAAAAGAATACAATCCTATATAATAAAAGCCTAATATGCTAACTGATCATCTAGTCATCTGTTCAACCAATCAAAGCATAATATGCCAATGATTTGCTAAGGCCAATCAACTGCTTGGTTGCTATGATGTGCATTGACCACCAGATGCTCTGACTGGTAGGTTAGCTTACTGGTGGGGTCTAGCAGATCATGACTAAGGGAGACTGAGTGAGATGGGTCAGACATGCAGTGGAGCCCTCCTGCAGTCCCTCTCCAGCTGGCCAACCTCCCGTGTCCCTCTCTGGCCCCAGTCATGCACTGGTGGGGTCCTTGGCCTTGCCTGTGCCCTCTCATAATCTGGGATCCCCCAGGGGATGTCAGAGAGCCAGTTTCAGCCCAATCTCACAGCAGGCCGAGGGACCCCACTGGTGCATGAATTCTTGTACTGGGCCTCTAGTAATTAATAAATAATAATAATTACTTAATGAATATAATGAACATAATGAAGATAATGAATAAACTGTGTGTTTCACATACAACTGTAAACCTACTTTTGCCACAGCCTGTATATCTCCAGTCCTGAACTCTCCTGAAATAAGAAATTTGCTTTCTGTATAGATTGCTCTGTAGGTGCAACTTGGCATGGGAAGTCAAATGAAATCTGAAGAATTCAAAATAAGGGAATTTGTAGAATTTAAGTGACACTGTACCAGCATAATGCAGTTCATTCTATGGAATTAAAATACCATCTCTTCAATTGGATATTGCTAATTTATGAACCAATTATCTTGTCTCATTCTGGCCTGGAAATTATTCTGTCTTTTTGCTTACTCATTATATATTGATTTTAGAGTTTAAATTCATGAGGGAAATAACTTTTCAAGTTATGGAACCTTTTATATCTTCCCATTCCCCTTTGCATTATCCACACAAATTTGGTTGTATTGTCTGAGTGAATGGCACATGATGAGGCAGAGAATAATGCTACAAGTAGATTGGCTGATAAGGGAAAGAAAATGTAGGTCAATGTTAGGGGGAAGATGCAGAGTTAAGAAGCATTTTAGAGAGAAATTTTAGCATATTTACATGATAAGAATGAAAACCCAGAAGGAGAGAAATTGAAGATATGACAGAATGGTTAATATATAAAGTGGAGTCTAATAGAAGAGGGAAGGAGGATGAGACTGAAAGCACAGATAAAATGAATCATTTTAAATGGAGGGTGGCCTCTGATACAGAAGGGAAGGTGAAAAGAACAGATACATGTTTAATTAAGTCTGTTGGCAGAGGCAGAGTTGAGTTGATATCCTTTTACCTCAATCATCTGATAAAGTAGGAAGCAAAAATATCTGCCAAGAATAGTGAGTGAGGGTGGATAGTTGGATTGAGGAGAGTAATAATGATTGGAGAGTGGAGAGGTATGGATGAGAGAGAGGTGACTCCAACTTAAAGAAATGACAGAACGATGAAGTCCTAGCTGAGATTAAAGTCTGAATTTTTTATAAGCATGGTGGTGGGGCATTATCTTGGCGTGGTATTTTATTTTATTATTTATTTATTTATTATTGGGTACTCCTGACCTGAGGATGTTTTTTTCCCATTGATTTTTAAGAAAGAGTGGATGTGAGAGAGACACATTGATTGGTTGCCTCCTGCACACATTCGTCTGGACCGTGGATCCATTGTGCAACTCAAGCACATTCTCTTGACTGGGAATCAAATCAAGACCCTTTGGTGCATGGTCCAATGCTCTAACTACTTAGCAACACTGGCCATGGCTTGGTGTGATATTTTTAGTAGCTGTGACAGCAGACTATTTGGAACAGAAGAGTTTTGTATAGGGTTGGATTTTTTTCTTAAAGGAAAGCTCTGTCTTCCTACCACTGAGATTAGGGAACACACTGGAGATGTGGGAAGTCTGAAGTTTCCACATTCTCCTTGTGCATCTTTTCCTTTTCTTCCTTTCTGAGTCATCCTCCTTAAGGATTTTCACCAACTATTTATTTTTTAATCTTTATTGTTGAGATTATTATAGATGTCCCTCTTTTTTTTCTTCCATTTCCTGCCTCCAGTCCCAGACCATCCCCACTCTATTGTCTGTATCCATAGGTAATGCATATATGCATGTAAAATTTTTGTTTAGTCTCTTCCTACCCTCTCACTTCCCTTCCCTCTTAGAATCATCAGTCTGTTCCATTTCCATGTCTCTGATTCTATTTTATTCACAGTATTTTTCTATTCATTAAATTACTTATTCATTTATTTTTATATTCAATTGTTGATAGGTATGTATTTGTTGCAATTTTGTTGTTCATTTTCTTCTTCTTCTTCTTCTTCTTCTTCTTCTTCTTCTTCTCCTTCTTCTTCTTCTTCTTCAACACCCTTCAACATTTTATATAATACTGAATTGGTGGTGATGAACTCCTTTAGTTTTTTCTAGTCCATGAAGCTCTTTATCTAACTTTCAATTTGACAATGGTATGGGTATTCCCTTGTGGGTAACTAACTGCTTTTCTCTTGCTGATTTTAATATTCTCTCTTTGTCGTTAGCCCTTGGAATTTTAATGATGATGTGTTTTGGTGTGGTCCTCTTTGGGTTCCTCTTGTTTGGGATTCTCTGTGCTTCCTGGACTTGTAAGTCTATTTTTTTTCCACCAGGTAGGGGAGGTTTTCTTTCATTATTTCTACAAATTGCTTTTCAATATCTTGATCTCTCTCTTCTTCTGGCACCCCCATAATGCAAACGTTGGTACGCTTGAAGTTGTCCCAGAGGCTCCTTACATTATCTTCATATTTTTGGATTTTTTTTTTCTTTTTTCTCTTCTTGTTGGGTGTTTTGGTAATTCATATTTCAAATCATTGATTTGATTCTCAGAATCATCTACTCTACTCTTGAATCCCTGCATATTATTTTTTATTTCAGTCACTGTATGATCAATTTCTGATTGATCCTTTTTCATTTTTTGGGAGGTTTCTAGTAGATTCTTGAGTAACCTTATAATTGTGGTTTTGAACTCTATATCCAGTAGTTTTCTTTCTTCCATTTCTTTCATTTGTGACATGTTTATTTGTCTCTGCATTTTGGCTGCTTCCCTGTGTTTGCTTCTATGTATTGGGTAGAGCTGCTATGTGTCCTTGAGTTGGTAGAGTGGCTTTGTGTAGTAGGTGTACTATAGGGCCCAGTGGCTCAGCCTCCCCAGTTACCTAAGTTGAGCACTCTAAGTGTACACATTTATGGGCTGTGAGCACGGTCTTATAGTTGAGACTTGATTGCTGTTGGTGCTGTTGGGAAGAATTGACCTCCAGGACCAGCTGTGACTATAGTGGGAGAGCTGCTATGCAGGAGATATTCCTATGGAGCAGGACTTTTCTTCATGGTGGCTTTGATGCTCACTGAGTTTTCCCCTTGAGTGTGCCACTTATAAATGTGTAGAGTTGTAATCTGTTATGGTCTGACACTGACTCTTGGGTTTCCAAGGAAGTGCAAAGTCAGCCACTGCCTGGGGCCACCAAGCAGGAGTTACAGAGAGATCTTAAGATTTCTCCTTTTTGTATGGGGTTTAAAAGTACCCACATAAGACCCAGTTATGAAGCAGGGCAGGCTGGTGCTGGTGCCAGGTCTTGGGTCTTTTATTGATAGGTTTGGGGCTCCCTTACCCAGTTGTAGCTTGTTTGGGAAATTTTAGCCTGAGAAAGGACAGGCCATCCTTATGCAAAACACACTGCACACAGCTTGAGTGGGGTTGTAAATTGGATGAGGTGAAGTTTTAGGGAATAACCAGAGAGGAGCAAACAGATATGGAGGTCCCAGCATAGGTACAATGATCCTGCAAGCACATTCATCTGGAAGAAAGCTGCCCCTGAGTTCCTGCCCCAATGCCAGTTTCTCCTCATATGTGTCTATGATCCCCAGAGCCTCGCTCTGTTCCTGGAGCTCAGAGGAAGAGGGACCTTATAAGTTCAGATTGTGGTGCTGGCCTTTTAAGAGGAACAGCTGGATCTCCATTAGTCTGTGTGTCACTGAGCCCCAATCTGCAGTGGTTTTTATAGCCTGTATTTATTAGTTCTTCTTATTGCCCTTAGGGACTTCTTCTTTCAGCTCTGGGACTCTGAGATGGAGGTCTGGTGTGTGGTTGGGGACCCCTTTCTCCTCTGCATGGCATCTGTAGAGACAGACAATCTCCATCCCAATTAAAAAAGCACACCTGGGTGACAAATCAGCCTGTTTCATGCCCTGCACCTCCTACCAGTCTCAGTGTGTCTTCTTTACTTCCTCCTCCATTTATTTCTTAAGTGAAACTATTTTAATTAAGAAAAATTATAGCCAAAACTGGTTTGGCTCAATGGATAGAGCGTTGGTCTGCGGGCTGAAAGGTCTCAGATTTGATTCCGGCCAAGGGCATGTACATTGGTTGCTGGCACATCCCCATTGGGGGGTGTGCAGGAGGCAGCTGATCGATGTATCTCTCATCGATGTTTCAAGCTCTCTATCACTCTTCCTTCCTCTCTGTGAAAAATCAATAAAATATATATTTAAAAAAAGAAAAATTATAAACATAATGTCCTTTGAGGATAGATTCATAGCATGCATTTTGAGACCTTACTTTTTATGAGTCATCCTCCTTAAGGATTTTCATCATCTAGCAAGTACTGAATATTTGTTTAGAAGTCCTGAAATCTTCTACCTTTGCTCCTCAGTGGTAGTATTTTTTTTTATCCAGTGTTAAGGCTTAATGATCAGTCTTCAGCGTACAATGATATTATGGCTCAAACGATTGCCAAACTTTCTTTCCTTAAAAAATACAAATAGATTTCTTTCTTTTGGAAATTATTTTGT